AGATTGACACTTCTACTGGTGCCTTGCTCAAATGTTAAAGTCACACCAGAGATGGCATTTTATCTGACAACCCTAAAAGCTGGTAGCTGGGTATGAAAGAAACATATGGTCACATCTCCAGGTTTTAGGAAAAGCTTGACTCGTAGTTTTAAAAGAGACTCCATATTTTCCTTCATGTTCATAATACAGACAGGTGAACGGTTTTAAAAGCCTACTTAGTTTCATCCTTTCACCGTGTTCAGAGAACAGATGATCTGAAAAGAAAAACAATCTGGGTGTCAGTGAGGAGGCATAGGGAATCTATTGAGCCTTGGGCAGCAGATCAGTACCCATACCAAGTATACACACGGACTTTGGACTCCCATAGAACAATGTGAGGTGCACTCTCACCCTGAACTCTTGGGAAAGGGTCTAGGCCCTGCCCTATATGAAATGACAGACTATGGACACCCCCATGGAGGGCCTCACCCTCCCTGGGGGAATGAGGGGATAACGGGGGGGGATGGGGGGAGGGCACGGGAGGAGGGGAGGGAAAAAGAGAGGGACCTGGAACTGACTTGTGAAGCAACCTTGCTTCTTATCTAAATTAAAAAAAAAGAATAAAAAAATAATTATTGATTAAAAAAAAAAGAAAAACAAAAAAACAAGACTTGACTAACTGTGAGGGATGGTAGGGCAGAGAGGACCACCTCAGTGTGGAGAATTCTAAAGGAGGCTTGGTGTGGTTGTTGCTTTGTTTTTTATGCAGGTTGTGACCCTTACCCCAGTCTCCTCCTCCAGAAGGGCCAGTGATGGCTAAGAAAGCTGCCACTTGCATATGAAACAACAATCTGTAACAACTGAGGCTGTTATGTTTTGCTGTCTAGGGGACCAGCCTCTGGCAGCACAGCTGGGCTCAAAGGGAATCCACAGACTCTGGAGTACTGACTTTTTTATCTGAGGTGATAAAGACAAAAAGACACCCACACACTCTTGATGGCTTCCATCAGAACTTGTCTTTATTCTTCTTCTGTATTCTGTATTCTTTATTCTGCTGGTGATTTCCTTCTCTCATTCTTGAAGATTTCCTTGTAACTGTATGTTTATTCTTCACATCTTCTTTCTAATTCCTTCTAACTCTCTCATTCTTGAAGTTTTCCTTCTAACTCCACCTTTACTGATCATGCGTTTCTTCTGTTTGCTTACAAACAGATGGTGTGTGGGAAGGGGGAAGTTGGGGGGAGCGGGAGAAGGGGAGGGATGTGAGAACTTAGGTTAGTATTAAAAATGAAAAATATTTATAAGTAAAAAACAATTAATTTTGACCTGTTAAGGTATATTGCAATTGTTTCATAATATATTACATGGGTTACTCTTACTAAAATTAAAAAGCATCATTTGACCTACAATCTATCCAAATACTATGGATGTTCAGTATAGCCCTTATCTACATGGAAGGCATGTGTGTGGGTTGACAACGGGTCAGGAATCCTAGTGTATTTCTGTCCTAGTTCTGGAGAGCTCTGCTTCCATTTAGAAAGTGTATGTACAGGGTCTAATTTGTGAACCGGAAGTGACACAAGACTGGGTTGTCATGGTCTCAGATCTTTATGTTTGGAAGTGCAGTTAGCAGGGGGATGATTTAAGTGGCAGTCCATCAGGACATAACATAGGTATTTTCAACTGGGTGTTAAGATCACAGGTATTATTTAGGGAATTTATTTTATATGTGTGTGACTTTTATTATATTCTAAGAATCTTGACTTCAAATGTTAGTTGCGCTGATAGTCACTTTAATTATCACTCAACGTTTACGTCCACACCAATACTACTCGTCACAATGAGTGGAAACAGGTTAAAATTTAGTTTGCCATTACAAACTGTCCTTGCAGTATTTTCTGGGTACAGACTACCAAGTTGCTTTGTTTTATAATGATTTACAGTAAGTTTTCTCCTCAACTCAATTTAGAGTTAGCTAGATTTGTTTCATTTGGATTTAAAGTTTAGGGATTATTTTATTGAGTTTATTCATGAAAAATTGAAACTTTTACACATTTTTGTATGCAAATCTATGAGACAAAGTATCTACTTTGACATACATCTGTGAGAGAAACCCTGCATTTGCTCTCATGAGACATATACTTCGATAAATGGTAGATGGTTCCAGACACCTTTCTCTGTTTTGTTGTTTTCAATTTCAATATATCCTAGGGATCATTCTATTGAATTAGGGAAACATGAATTTCAGTATCTTTCAATTGATGCATACACATGCTACTCATGTAGTATACTCTTGGTGAATGCCGGAGTTTATGGGTTTTTGAGTAAAATATTTCAACCAATGTGATATATATACACACACATTCATATGCAGGAATATAGATATTTAATTCCTATGACAAAATACAAATAAATATGAAAATTTACAGGATGCTGCCAAATTTCCCTCCACAGCTTTTGAGCCATTTTACAAGTGATTTTCTAAACATAGAAGGATTTTATACTTTATTTTGCTGGGATTAGGCTGGGTTTGAACCTAAGACACTGAATATGCAAAGTATGTGTTCTATTTCCTTACTACACTCCAAGCCCCTGAATATACTTGCACACACTGTAAAGAGCAAACATGATCGAATGCTACCATTATCAATTATTATCTAACATATGAGTTGCTTTTTTTATTTAAGCTGCTTTTTCCAGAGACAATTCAAGTACTTGCCTTATCTTGATGGGAGCTTATGTCATCAGCTAGTATCTGAAAAGCGGTTACACTATAATACAAATTTGTGAATATTTAAACACATTCTCTTTTCTTAAAGACTACTATGTAGGAAGCAGGTTTTATAAATCCATCCCTTGGTCTACACCTCACAGTAGACGTTCACTCCTTTCTAACATAAGCTATAACCTATAAATATACTATGAAACCATTTTCTTGGACACAAACTGACTTTCAGACTGGATAATAAAATATTTTTTAAAAACCTTTTAAATAAGTACTGAAATTTACTTCTTAAGAGAATCTTAGAATGGATAGACAGACTCTTCTGCCTTAAAATTGTTAGGGGATTAGTTCTGCTAGGACTGGCAAGATCCAATGTAGTAGGTTTTTAAAAAAATCTTTTTAACACCATTATTCCTATATCTGCTTTTTATCGGTAATGGAGGCAGAATTAATTTTAAAAGGTGGTGGCTATTGATTACTTAATGGAAGAATACAGTATAGGGAAATGCTGAAGTGAATCTATTCTGTGGCCTCCCATGCAACAGGCCCCATTATCCAGTAGTGGGAGGCACTTTGTAACACTCATTAATATGTAATAGGCAACATCAGCCTGCGTATAAAGGCTACAAAATTACTATAGGCTATGAGCATGTCTCAAGTATACAACAGAGTAGCAGATTGTCCTTGATGCACTCATCCGTAAACAGGACAATAGTTTCCTCACTTCCCTCAGACCTCAGATCAATGAGGGTTTGAAGGAAACGCCTTCTGGGCAAGTCAGAGTGATTCATGCTCTAGGTACATCTCTACCTTGGTAAGCTCCGTGTGAGATGACGTGGTATTTTCCAGTGTGGAACACAATTTCAGTTATCTCAGCTCTCCTCCCACCACAAGCATGAAGAACTATAGGCTTGTTCAACAGGCAAGGCAAGTCAGAAGAATGTGTTTTGTCTGCCACAGCCATCATTTGTAGAGCAATATTCTGGAGCAGAGTCTATATCAGGCTAACCACTCGTCACATGTCCAGGATCTTTCTCGTTCAACTTGTTTTATAAGGGAAATAAGCAGTTTTAAAGGCAGTGGTGGTATGAGAGATGTGTCTAAAAATGAGCTTAAGGATTTCCTGGCAAAGACTAGTTAAAGTGAGATTTCTGAGTGAACAAGAACAAATTCTATAGATTACTGACTACTGGTATTGGACTTTTTCCAAATTACTAGGTTACCTTTTCAGTAAAATCTATTCATTCCTAAGATAAATTACTTTGAAATGATGTATAATTCTTAGGTCAAGATTTTTTTTGTAAATTTTAGGTACATACACAGGAACACACACACACACACACACACACACACACACACACCACACACGCACTTGCATGCACTCCTACACAATAAAATTAGATACCCAAATTCTAAACAATGCATAAAATCAAATTGATAGTGAGAAAGCCGATATTTTGAATTAGTGATTTTGAAGAATTTTGAAAGTGTATTCAGGACAGCCATTTACTTTGAAGCATTTTAAGATAATTTATAATTACCTACGTAGAGTGAGTTTGCAAAAGAATATAAATTTTACTCTGCTAACAACGTGTGAAGCTTGTCCTTTAAAATCAGTGAGGGAAGTTGATCTGCACAACGGGAGACAGGCAGTGGGATGTCAGTGCAAGTGCGTGTGAAATGTGAAGAAATTACACACATGCTTACACTGCGCATGCGTATATGTTCAGTTTATTAATAGGCCCGCGTCTACCTACTCTCTTTCTGATTACCGGCAGAGAAGTTAAAGTTCACAAAATTTGCTAGCGGGAAATGTACTTGTGTTGATTTCGTTTTAAAGCAAACTTATTTTAGGAGGCAGGAGAGAGATCATCACTCAGATGCTGGCTCTGCTACATTGTTATTGCGTCTTTATTCGTTGTTGGCTTTGTTAGCAAAGATTGCCTGAACTCTCCTGGTGCAAATAAGTTAGTGTTCCGCTTATTTAAAGAAGGCTCAGTTTAGAATCTTCAGAAGCTCCAGTTTCTTGTTTCAAGTAATTAATACTGTGAATACATTTTAAAAAATTAACCAAGGTCTTAACCACTATTGCACAAATCAAAAGAAGACATTTTAGCAAGTTTTAGTATAAAATTATGAATAATATTTATACCTTCAATGGCTTTTCTGAGTCCAGGGAAGGACTTTTCAAAGCTTACATATTCAAAATGCATTTCTGAGAAGCTGTAACAAATTTATTACTTTCAGTTGTGAAAGTCACAAACCTTAAGTTTCTTTTCCTTTTCTGATTTTACAGCGCAGCAGCAGTTTTGGGAATTTTGATCGTTTTCGGAATAATTCCATATCAAAATCTGATGACTCAACTGAGGTTAGTTATTTTATCATATCCTTATTAACATTATGACAGCATATTTTAAAAGTTTATAATATTAGGTAAGGAAATTAGACACATTTTTCAAGGTATGTAGATGTACACAGAATTTGAAATAAATGAGCATTTAGAGTCTAGTACCATGTTGGGTATTTAGCAGTAAAGAGCTATCTAAGAACCCTGTTCAATATTTGGGCATGACATGAATTTAAAATTAGTTACAATTTCAAGATCATTATAATTCAAAACTACACTAACAAGTTCAAGGCTCCCAATCATTTCCATGCTAAAGCATGAAAGTTGCTAAATGGGCTTGGTGGTCATTCTGCTAAGATGAGTCACTTCTTTTTTTTTTTAATTTTATTTTCCAGTTTAAATTTAGATAAGAATCAAGGTTGCTTCACAAGTCAGTTCCAGGTCCCTCTCCCATTCCCTCCCTTCCTCCCGTGCCCTCCCCCCCCCCGTTATCCCCTCATTTCTCCAGGGAGGGTGAGGCCCTCCATGGGGGTGTCCATAGTGTGTCATTTCATATAGGGCAGGGCCTAGACCCTTTCCCAAGAGTTCAAGGTGAGAGTGCACCAGATGAGTCACTTCTAGTGCACACTTTGTGTCTGGTCTCAGCAAAACTCACCATAACATTAAATTTTGTATATAATAATAATAGCAGTACCATTGATAGCTATATTTAATTGAATGCTTGTCATGAAGGAAATATAGTGCTACCAATTTACTTATCTATTTGTTTTAATTTTACTGATGAAGGGATTTTCTATTATAGAGTTATCAAATGACAAAGAAAGGACCCAATCTCTTCTCTGACTTTAACGTCTGTAACTCTGCTATACCATCTTATTTAATGGGAACCTCCTGGGATGGGTGACTAAGGAAAGGTCCATCTGAAGGAGCCACACACTGAGAAAACTAAGAATGCAGCACATATTCTTTCTTAATCCTAATCTGCACACTGACCCAAACTCTGTGAACTCACTAACAATTACTTTTAGATAAACAGGTTATAATATCTTATATACAGATGCATCTATTATAATGTTATTTTTTATGTCAGCAAGGAATATTCTATGTTATAAATTATAATAACATTTCATATATTTTAATATACCTTTGTGTATTATTATAGTTAATCATCAATTTAGGTAATATATATATCAACCATCACACACACACACACACACACACACACACACACACACCCCTGTCTTAGTTTATTTCCCTGCTATTGTGATAAAATATCCTGACAAAAGCAACTCTAGGGAGAAAGGGTTTACTTCAGAGCACAGTTAAGGATCACAGTCCAGCATGGTGGGGAAGTAAAAACTGAAGGAGTTTACTTAAAACAGCAAGTCATATCACTTACATAGTCAAGAAGCTGAAGGCAACAAATGCATGTTCATTAAAGCCCAGCCAGGAAATGGTAGCTACTGTGGGTGGCTCTGCCCATCTCAACTGTATAATCAAGATCATCCCGCAAAAGTATGCACAGAGGTTCAATTCCGATGTGATTCTAGATCTTGCCAAATTGACTGTAAACACCAGCCACTGCAGTTACATTTTACTCTCTACATATTTATGGGTGACCATATATAATTATATATGTACTCACAAACTTACACAAATAAGCACTTGTTTATGTATGTGTGCATACACAGAGGGGAACTTATTTGTGTGACTTTATTTTCACTTAGTATTTTGTATAAAATCTTATCTCTAAAACCATATATAGCTGTGTTCTGTTACTGTTTCATTTGTAACAAACCTATGAAACTATCTCAAGCTCATCCACTGTCATTGGAATAAGTAGCATTTAGGAGAGCTGATAAAGTAGTTTCCCAATTTCCAGAAACCCAGGATCAATTCTCTATCCTTTTCACAGATACCTACAAAATGAGAGGGTTTGTGCTAGCTACTATAGAGTACTGTTGCAATGAAAGATGAAAATGCCTACTTCATGAGGTCTGGAGTCTGGCAGCAATATCATTGAAAAGATTGTGACAATAATAGAACTGTAAATTCTAAACAGAAATCTACTGCTGGCTATGGAGCAAACTTCACAGAAAAGAAAACTAATTGAAAATATATAAACAGTTTCTCCGAAGTCTCTATAAGTAATGATGGGAAACCAAAAAAGTATTTGTATTGCATTATTTGAAATAATAGTAAGAATATCAGTTTTAACTAAATAATATGCTTTCATATTTATTTTAGTTAGCAGAATAATTTTACAACTAAAACAAGAAAGTTGAAGCAAAGAAGAGAGAGAAGAAAAAGGCTAACTAAAATTTGAGTGTTTCCAAATTATGTTTTATTCTGGTATTTTGAATTAAGCAAAGACTCTGCCTTTATAACCATGATGTAGAAATTAATAATGTGCAATGGGGGCTTAAATTTTTGGATGTCTGTTTATATTTATCATAGGCAATTTGGGGTAAGATATGAAGCAAAATATAATATTGATTAATAATGGTGTTAACTATGTGGCTAAACGCTCATATTAAAATATCTGAGCTCACTAGTCAGAATCTTCCCATTATTTCTTAAGTTCTGGTATGCTGGGCCATCCTCCCATCAAGCATGGTGGGCAGGACTAAAGCAGATGACCTTCATAGTTCATTGCTTGCCCATCTAGAGACCAAGAGCATCTAGTCCATACATGTCCTCAAGGGGAGTGGGAAAACTGCCTTCAATTTCTATATCAAGAATTTCATCTATTTAAAGAATATTGAACACTAGTTAACATGCCTTGAAGTATTTCTGAGACTAGAATGAAGTATATAGAGAAAGTATTTATTCTCATGGAACATGCATCATACAGGAAATGCAGATAATCACTAAATGAGCAAACACATTTTCAAATAAAGTCAGGGTAGAGAAGATGAAAAAATCAGGTGAAGCAACAGGAAGTGTGGACAAGCATGAAGAATGATGAATCAGATAGTTTCTTTCCTGTTACTACACATTAATTAATGCCTGGATAGCTTATGAAATCTGTAGCTCTCTAGAGGTAGCCATGGCAGAAGCGTGTCCAAACTGAGATGAGAACCTTATACATTAAAGGAGACACACAATCACGGCAATAGTTATTATTTGTCTCAAGTTTTATTATGTATCTGTGGCTCAGAATCAACACAAGTGACTCGTTTAAACAAACTGCCCCCGAATAGTGAAGATGCTATTTTGAAAAGAGTAAAGATATTTTTATTTTACATAGATTCTATATGATGCAACACATTTTATAAACGGAATAATGTTAATTATGTGTTAAACTTTCGTATTAAAGGATTTACGATCACTACAGAGACATTTCCCATCATTGATCATATCATACCACATTGATTTATGCTATACTGTTGAGCTTTGTAGGCAAACACCAATGCTTGTGCTTTGTTCTGAGGAGAGAAGTAATCACTGCTTTGTCAGGAAGATTATTAATGAGCACAACTTAACAGCAAACCAAATAAAAGACTTAATTGTTACATACATGAAATCTATTAATCATGTGAGGATTTCTTTGTAAGTGGATTGAACCAGATACTATTTACTATTACTTAAAGTGAACAATGAGCCATCATAAGCACCTGATGAGATGAAAACATTGTAGATTTCAACTGTTCAATTAGCTTCCAAACTTTGTAAAAAATCACTATGACCATGCCAATCTATTTGAGATGCAAGAAGCTATAGGAGTGGTGATAAAGGATTTTCTAATTGCTCCATTAAATTATCTCTCATCATAAAGCTATAATCACTCATGCTGCCTGATGGTTACTTCTGTTTTGATCATCTCCAAAACAAGAACTAAAAGCTACTAAACCATAGCTGAAATTCTCCAAGAATTTCACCTGCAAAGATGAGAACTTTCAAGAAAGTTTCTTATTGTGTTATGCCCAGAATGTGTACAGCACAAAATGAACAGAAAATCCAAACTTTATTCTCTCTAAGGAGGTTCTCAGTGAATGTTCCTAGGGTTGGACACAGGGCTTAGGTGTGGTTCCCTTGCCTAGTATGTGAAATCCCTAGCACAATATAACGCTGGAATCAAACAAATGATCATTTCTTCTTTATCATTTCATCTTTTCTCTAAAAAATTCTACATTAGGTCCATGAAGGGGAACTAACAAATGGAAGTGAAGAACAAAATAAAACTTCAAATACTGGAGGAAATTTAAGTAAAAAAATGAGGGCTATTTCATGGACAATGAAGAAAAAAGTAGGGAAAAAATACATCAAAGCCCTTTCTGAGGAAAAGGTAAGTATATTGTATATTTTGTCATCTGTATATATATATATATATATAATATTTAGTTGGCTTTGTCTCTAGACCTAGAATATTTGGTGCTTTATGAAACAATTAGATATATTTTTCCTTCTACTGTCATACTTAGAAATTCTGTAGTTCTAAAAAAAAACCAGTGTGTTCTCATGCATGTGAGTACCATGGGGTGCATGCACACATCAGAGGATAACTTTTCAATCTATTCTCCCTTTCAACTTTTACAGGGGTTTTTGGATCAAACTCAAGTCTTCAGGCTTGCTCAATAAGTGCCTTTACCCAACAAGCCATTTGGCTATCCCACTTGTATGGTTCTTAAAGGATTACTGCTCCAATTTTAAAAGAAGGAAATTCACACATCTAGCATGTGAAGAATAATATACTGTTTAAATTGTAGCAAGCATCTGGAATTCATTTCTTATTACCAAATACTATCCCATTTATAAATAACCTACATTTTCCATATCTACTGGCTGATATTTGGGCTGTTTCTACTTAGATTTTATTATGATTAATGCTGCTGTAAACACTTATATGTGATTCTCTGTATGAAAATATTTTTGTTTCCTTTTGATATATAGTAATTCTACATCTAATATTGTGAGCAACTGCTTTCCCAAAACTATGTTCAATTTTCCTTACCCAGTATTAAAAAATAAGTGGCTCCAATGTTCCTATATCATTTCAGCTCACGGTATTTTTTTAAGTATCAGTCACTAGTTAAGATGAAGTAGACTCACACTTCATTTACATTTACATTGATGATACTGAGATCACTTAATGTGCTTGTTGGTTCTATCTACTTCTATTTTGAGAAATATCTATTTAAATGTTTTGTCTGTTTTTTAGTACTTGGTTATTGCCATTTAATAAGTTTTAAATGTTTATATAATTCCTGAATGAGTTTTATTGGATGGATGTATGACTTCTAGATATATATCCTATCATTCTGCACATTGTATTTTCACTTTTATACTATTATTTATTATCAAATGTTTATAATACTTCAATTTTCTGTTTCTCTTGTTATTTGGCTTTTGGCATACTTGAAATACTGTTTAACTTCATATAATGAAGATTACTTCTGCATTTTCTCCTAATGGATTCATAATATTAGCTCTTAACTTTCAGTTTATGACCCGATTGGGGTTAGATATTCTATATGGTTTTCAGATGAGTAAACTTTCCTTCTTTTTTATGTAAATATCTAGTTGACTCAACTTCATTAATTGAAGACTTTTCTTTCCACATTACATTGTTTTGGCAACAATGCTTAAAGTAAGCTGACCTTCATACTCCATATTTTAATAAGCATATAGATCATAAATATAAAGGTATATATAGTTATATATTGTTAATTTGTATGTCTTATGTTTATTTTCTCTTTTGTCCCTCTTCTACTTGAATTCCATCTCCAGTATTCATTCTATCACAACAGTAGTAACCTTTGTGATGTCAAACACGATGACACTTTACTTCTTAACTATAGGCACAAGTAGTGGCATGCTTACATGTAAAACTTCCTCTTTGTTTTTTTGAGAATTCTTTGAACTTTCCTCTTTCACAGAATTCTTCTTGGCTTTGCTTCTGTTTCTGTCTCTCTAAATAGTAAATTTTCCCAAGGTTTCTTAAAGTCCTGGACAGTCCAGTAACTATACCCTCTCCTCTTTTGTGATCTTAGACATTCTTACCCTATTTTTTAAAGTATCTTTAGATATGACTTCTTCACTTTTTTGCTATAATCAACTAACTGACTGTTGCATTTGTTTAACTCTGTGAACCTGTGATTCCTTTCCTGTCTAAAACACCTGATGGTCTAATAAAGAGTTGAAGGCCAATAGTGAGGCAGGAGAAAGGAGAGGAAGTTATGGCAAGCAGAGAGGATAAATAAATATGGAGATCTCTGGGAGGAGAGGAGAAAGAACAGGATAGAACAAGGAGAGGAAGACATCAGGGACAAGCCATCCAGCTATATAGCAAGGTGTTGAGTAATAGTAAAAGTAAGATTTATAGAAGTAAGAGAAAAATAAAAGTCCAGAGGCAAAAGGTAGTTGGGATAATTTAAGAAAAGCTGGCAAGAAGCAAGACAAGCTATAGTCAGGAATTCATAAATAAGAGTAAGACTCTGTGTGTATTTATTTGGGAGCTCAGTGGTGACCCCCCCGCCCTGCCGCCCACCTGCAAAAGCCACAAGAGTACAAACAAAGAATTATATCTGACTACTCATGTGATGCTATCACAGGGATGTCCAGTGGATACCACAGCCTATGAATATAAAAACACTGAAATTCTCAACATTTATTAAAAAACACTTATTTCTCATCTATTATTTTCAGTGGCAAAACACAAAACTTTTATGGTTCTAGACACTAAAGAAAGAGCAAGGGGAAAAAAGGAATCACTTGAATTTCTTTCTCTAATTATGAACATAATTATCATAATATAGCATAATATTGTTTCTATGTCCAAAGAATATTTGAAACTCTAAGTTTTTCTATTCAAATTGTCCCTGATTTAAACTAAGTTACTAGCTTGCCTGAATGCATTACCACAGCCACCACTTAAGTTCTGTCTATTGTCTCTTCAGTAAGATCCATTTTGGACAAGAAAGTGTGAAAAGATTTCTGAAAGGCATGAGCAGGACCCAACAGGCCCCAGATTAAAACTTCAATGTCCTGCAAAGGATTCCTTTACTACAGTGTCATCTAGCTAGTAGTCTGGGGATCAGAACTCAAAGAAATAAAAGAAACACCAGGATTTTCAAGGGAAATGTCCGTGAACTCTTTCCATGTTGTTGATGGATTTTTTTTGAGGTAGGGTTTCTCAATGTAACAGTCTTGGCTGTCTTGGAACTCTCTTTGTAGACTAGGTGGGCCTTGAACCCACAGAGATCCACCTGCCTCTGCCTCACAAGTGCTGGGATTAAAGTTATGAACTCTTAAGAAGGGTAACTGCATAGGATAAGCTTGCAGTAACAGTGCAAATCTGACATCTGTAAGAGACAGGGAGGAGAAAAGAACCAAAGTTTCTCTTTTCAGCCCTCTTCTGAGAATGTTTTGGTCAGATTTGTGGGGAATTCTTGAAAACTAAAACTTCCCAGAAGAGCTCCTTCCCCACCCCAGCAGAATAGGCACAAATGTTATTCAGCTACTGAGGTAGTGGTGGGTCTGGATTCAGTTGATACAAAGGGGAAAAAGCAGAACTTCTAGAGTGTATTAGTCATATTTCTGCTGCTAATGGTAATAAATAACAGATTGGTTATTCACAAACAAGACTGAGTGGCAACATCTCACAATGGCCTTTTTGGTGACAGGGTTACAAGGAAACAGAGGCTATCATGCAGTGACAAATACAGTATGTGTGTAGATGTCTTAGTGTCTACTCCTCTGCTATTAAAGCCACTAATATCCAATCATGGGTCTCTATTATGATGACCTCATCAATCCCAATCACCTCCCAAAGGCCATACCTCTAAATACCACAGTCAGATTAAGTTTCCCCTTTTATGATATCCTACAATGAAAATTCAATGCACATGTGAGTTTTTGGAGATGACAATATGGAATCATAGCATTCAGTGTCCAACCCCAAAGTTCATGTGTTTCTCACAATACAAATGATGATGTAGGTGTCACATTCCCAGGGCCACCACAGTAGTCTACAGCTTTCTTCATGAACTGGCTTTCAATCACTGCTTTGAGATAGGATGTAATACTCTCCTTTCTCTCAAGACATTGGTCTGTACACCCATGGCTACTTATGAGTTCAGTTTTCTTTTCCTTTTGCTTAGAAAAGTACATTTAGAAGAAAATAGAAGTGCTATTTTTTGGTTGTTTGTTTTTTTACAGACAGGGTTTCTCTTATTGCTTTGGAGGTTGTCCTGGAACTCGCTCTGTAGACCAGACCGGCCTTGAACTCACAGAGATCTGCCTGCCTCTGCCTCCCAAGTTCAGGGATTAAAGGTGTGTGCCACCAACGCCCGGTTAGAAGTGCTACTTTCTTGTAATTAAGGGTAACATAGTATAAAAAAGGGTATCTTCACACATCTTCAGGTAGATTCTGGGCATTTGTTTCCTGTCAGTTGAAGTCTTTGAAATTCATTTTGTTTAAATCAACTAAACTTTCTCATTTTTACACAGTTTACCAGTTCTCTCACATTATACAGCCTCTCTCCTTCACAGTGCTTACAGGTTTCATGCGAATACTTCCATGTACATAAGTACAACCCCTACAGTAATATTAACACATAGCTTACACAGTATGCCTAGCCCATTTAGACTAGAACATAATGTGTTAGATCCAAAACCCCTTTACTCTGTGATCTTGCTAATTAGAGTATCCTCAAATTTTAGAAACTTGGCAAGTACCTAGGCTGTGCTTTATAAAACTTTCCTGAATTATTGAATGAATAAAAACTAGATAAAAAGCAGAGAATCAAACTAAGTCTATGCTTATTATGAAGTTTTATCAATGCTCAGTAACTCAAAAAATGAGACTATTGAATTACAATATGATGGGTATTAAGAAATTCATAGGCTTTGTCCAAACTTTCTAAAAATGGCAAACATTTGAAATGTGTTCAAGAAAATGTAATTTGTTTTGAAATTGTCTGTCTTTTCTAATTTTATGCAAGATTTGCTTTTCACTTGACTAGGTGGCAAGCACAGTATGAGATTTGTAAAGCTCCTGAGATAAGCCTTGCTTTAGAATTGCAAAGTGAGCATGTTTTATTCATATCTAGTGATCTGGTAGCGTGCAAATAACTGACATGAAACAAATGCTCCGAGTTTAAACCTGTAGTATCAGATCTCAAAGGATTAGCAATGGTGGCAAACAGATAAGAGGGCGAACATGAAGAAGCAACTGCACTTCAACAGAAAAACCAACGATGCCAATACATCTAACATTTCTGATTAAATACTCTTGATACGATATTCATCTTTATTTTCAAAACTAGGCCATTATAATTGCAGTTGAATTCCACAATAAGCGTCTCATCTAGGGAATTTTTCCAAGTATCCTCTAAACTGTTTTCCTAGAAAATGAACTGAAGATTAATGACCCTCATATTTTATGCTGATGTATTCATGAGTGTTTTATTGTTTAAATGTGTCTTGCTTGTAGAATCAGTGCACACAGGGAACATCTCCATAGAAATCTGATCTGCACACTTAACCTCTGTTATGTTCTTTTCACAAGGAGGAGGAAAATGGAGAGGAAGCCCTCTCATATCGTAACAGTGATCCCATGATTGGAACACATACAGAGAAGATCTCCCTCAAAGCCAGCGACTCTATGGATAGCCTCTACAGTGGGCAGAGCTCATCAAGTAAGGTTAATGCATAAGGGGTGACATCTAAGAAATGAAGCCTGGGTTAAACTAATTAAAAAGCAATAAATGATCACACTGAGGTTATTTATCAGATTAGAAGCAAAGATCCAAACATTTGGTAATATAGAAGTTGAAAAGACTGGATACATTGAATCTACATGGAGTTACTGATTGTGATACACGGCATAAAATACTTGGAGGCTACATCCTGCAGGGGTCTTGTGAAAATGCCTTAAAAGTTGGGTTAAGTAATAAATCTGATACCAAAATTGTATGTCCAGGAAACCTAGTGTCATCTTGAGTCAAAAATTATAAAATTATTTGAAATAGAGAAGTAAAATTATATTCTTTATTTTTCCTCTATGTCCCTTCTTTGCTATTTTTCTTTTTATCTTTGTCCCTTCTCTCCTCCCTCTCTCATTCCTCCTCTTCTTCCTCTTCCATCTCTTCCTTCCTTTCTTTCTAAAAATTTCCTTATTTTCTGCAAAGTGCACGACATTTGCCTCAATTCTGTCATTCACAATTACCATCAGTAAGGAAAGACTGAAGCAATGAATAATACCACATGATAGATATGTCACCAGTGGGGTAGGAAAGGAGATTAGCAGGCAACTATAAGGATTGCTGAGTCAACATTGATATTTGTCTAAGAAGGGCATTACTCAAGATTCAGTCACATTTTTCTTCTACAAAACTTACAAGAAAGTACTAGTGGGGCTGGCACCTTATGTCTTCTGTATGTAAACTGTTATCTTTCCTCCAGTCTTTTCAGGACTTTTAAATGTCACCACAAAGTTTATTTTCCTTTTCATTTTAAATCAACTACTTCTGTTATTTGAAGATGACTCACAAAGAGAAGACAATTTGAACATCCTCAATTTTATTCATATTAGCTCTACTCTAGTACTTTTTTGGTGAAAACTAATGCAGAAACATTTGAAGGATAGTGTGTGTGTGAGTGTGTGTACGTATGTGTGATTCAGATGTCCTAAATATCCATTTCTGCTGAAAGTTTTCAAATTCAGGTTGTGATACTGAATGTGGAAAGAATTGTATTACTCCAGCCCATGAGGCAAAGCCTGCACCCACATTCATCTAGAGGAGAGGCATGGGGAGATAATGTTCCACGTACATGCTACATCTCTCTTCATACACAATGTAGAGTGTCCTGCAGGATTGTTACCTTACTTCCTAACGCATGGGAGTGAGTATGCTGTAGCTGTTGCCTCCTCTAACAGCAAAGTGTCAGTCTGAAGGAACATGAGGAGACTGGGTGTGTGGGAGAAACAAGGAGACGCTTCTCTTGGTGACAGAGCTGACGACACTACAAAAAGGAAACAAGCTGGAGCGAAATGGAATGCTTCCTTCTGCTTGCTTTGTTCCATTTTGTGTTCTTACACCGGAAATTCAAGATCAGAAAGGAAGGTGGCCAGAAAACAAGCATCCAGGCAGTTTAGGATAGGTCGGAGGCTCAGACATTTGGGCAATTTTCCTCACTACCTCATGACAAGCCAAAGCATCACCTTTTATAAGCAGAGATTTTTCTCTCTCATGGCCTTTGGCACACAATCAGATTTTGGGGGAGGACATTTTTTTATAATTATGTAAGCTGTAGGGAACTCTGAAATGTCATGTGTTGACCGTTTATAATATAATGACATATAATGATTAAACTGTGTCTATCAAATTCTCTTAGTGTTCAAATATGAAAATACCTAGGTCAAAGTTTGATCCTATAATTTGCTCCAATTTAGCAAGTGGGCATTCTTTTTAAAAATTAATTTTATTTAAATTAAAAACAATCTTATTTTACATACCAATCCCAGTTCCCTCTTCCTCCCATCTTCTCACTCCTCCACCAATCCCCCATCCTACCCCCCATCCATTCCTCAGGGAGGGTGAGCCCTCCCATGTGGGATCATTAAAGTCCGCCACATCATTGGGGCAGGATCTAGGCCCTCCTCTATGTGTCTGGCTGAAAGTATCCCTCCATAGGGAATAGCCTCCCCAAACCCATTCATGCACTAGGGATAAATACTGGTTCCACCGCCAGAGGCTTCACAGATGGCCAGGGCCCCCAGCTGGCACCCATGTTCAGGGAACCTAGTTCTATCTTATGCTGGTTCCCCAGATGTCAGACTGGGGTCTGTGAACTCCTTCAAGTGGGCATTCTTTTTTTTAAGATAAATTATTATTTTTATGGTGCTTAGGATTTGTGTTCATCTACAGCCCTGGGGATTTTTTTTATTTAAATTAGAAACAAGGTTGCTTCACATGTCAATCGCAGGTCCCTCTCCCTTTCCCTCCCCTCCTCCCACGCCCTCCCATCAACCCCCCCACCCCTTCTTTTCCCCAGGGAGGGTGAGACCCTCCATGTGGGTGTTCATAGTCTGTCATATCATCTAGGGCAGGACATAGACCCTCCGCCAAGATTCTAGGCTGAGAGTGCATCTCTCATTGTTGGATGGGCACCCAAAGTCCATTTGTATGCCAGGGATAAATACTGATCTACTGCCCAAGGCCCCATAGATTGCCTAGGCCTCCTCACTGACACCCACATTCAGGGGGTCTTGATCAGTCCCATGCTGGATTCCCAGGCATCAGTCTGGGATTCAAGAGTTAACCCTTGTCAGGTCAGCTGTTTCTGGGGATTAAACCTGCCCAGTCTTAACCCCTTTGCTCATCAGTCCTCCCTCTCTGTCACTGGATTCTTTTAGTTCAGCTCAGTGCTTAGCTGTGGGAGTCTGCTTCTGTTTCCATAAACAATTAGATAAAGGTTCTGTTCCCCAGACTCTCTGACCATGGGATTGTAGGCTGGCACTTCCCAGATGTATGTCTAAAATCCATATATGAAAGAGTACATACCATGTTTGTCTTTTTTAGACTGGTTTACATCACTCAGGATGGTTTCTTCTAGTGCCATCCATTTGCCTGCAAATTTCAGGATTCCATTATTTTTTTCTGCTGAATAGTACTCCATTGTGTAAATGTACCACACTTTCTCTATGTTCAGCTGGGGGGCATCTAGGTTGAAGGACACAGTCAACAAGACAAAAGGCAGCCCACAGAATGGGAAAAGATATTCACTAACCCCACATCTGACAGAGGGATGATCTCCAAAATTTACAAAGAACTCAAGAAGCAAGTCTCCCAAAACACCAAAGGATCCAATTAAAAAGTGGGGTACAGAACTAAATAGAGAATTCTCAGTAGAGGAGTCTAAAATGGCTGAGAGGCACTTGAGAAAGAGCTCAACATTCCTAGCCATCAGAGAAATGCAAAACATGCCCTTTATGATATATCATATCATGGAGTTCAAAGTGAGATGATATTGGAATAAGCGTGAGGGGAGTATTCAGACTGCCAGGGAAATGGTCAGAACTAGCAGAGTAGAGTGAGTCACTGAGGGATAGAGATTAGGAGCTCCATAAGACTGGCATCCATTGCTCCAGGTCTAGACAAGGTGTAGGAGGCTAAGAAGTGTCAATAAGAACTGTTAACCTTTCCTTCACCAGGTGGAATAACAAGCTGTTCAGATGGGACTAGCAACAGGGACAGTTTTCGACTGGATGATGACAGCCCCTATTCAGGGCCATTCTGTGGCCGTGCCAGAGTACACACTGACTTCACACCCAGTCCCTATGACACCGACTCCCTCAAGATCAAGGTGGGCCCATCTTTCGTATGCTTTCTGGCTTGTCAAATGCTAGTTGCATGATATAATGTAGGAATAACAGGAAGTGGGAGGTAAGGATGCATATTCTTCCCATAGTAGGTTGGACTGGTTCCCAAGCAGAAGGACTTGAACTTAGTGTGAGCTAGGGTGAGAGGGATCAGTATATTCCTCTTCTTTATTTTGTTTAAAATTTTAATTAGTTTTTCCATCTAAATTAGAAACAAGCTTTCTTCACATGTCAATCCCAGCTCCCTCTCCCTCCCCTCCTCCCCCACCCTTCCACTAGTTCCACCAGCACCCTAACCAATCCCTCCGTGGGGGATCTCCAGAGTCTGTCATTTCATTCAGGGGAGGGATTAGTCCCTCCCCTAAGAGTCCAGGCTGAGAGAGCATCCCTCATTGTGGGATGGGCACCCAAAGTCCATTTATATGTCAGGGATAAATACTGATCTACTACCCAAGACCCCATAGATTGCCTAGGCCTCTTCAATGACACACATATTCAGGGGGTCTGGATCAGTCCCATGCTGGCCTCCCCATCATCAGTCTGGGGTCCATGAGCTCCCTCTTGTTCAAGTCAGCTGTTTCTGTGGGTTAAACAAGACCAGTCTTGACTGCTTTGTTCATCACTCCTCTCTCTCTGTCACTGGGTTCCAGGAGTTCAGTTCACTGTTAGCTGTGGGTGTCTGCCTCTGCTTCCATCAGTCGCTGGATGGAGGTTCTAGGATGGCATATAAGACAGTCATCAATCTCATTATCAGGGAGGGGGCACTAGAGGAAGGAAACTGAATCTTAGCCTGGGTAGCCTGTCAGCTTTGCTGAAATGTGCAAGTTTCAAAGATACAAGGTACAAGACCACAAGTATAAAATATTTACATTTTTCAGGAATGATCGAGGGAAGAACTGCCACACCTAGAAACTTGGTAGCCGTCCTAGCCAGTTTGCTGGTTTCCTGTGTGGACATCATCTGGCAGGCCATTTCATTCTCACAGGGAAACCTCAAACACCTACACCCAAATTCATAAGGCAGACAGGTACAAATACTATCGCAATCAGAGAGGTCACATCTTTCAATAAAATCATACTCAGTTATATATTAGTATCGTGAATAAAATTTGTGTTTCACTTCAATCATATATTCACAGACCTGCAGGAAAATATAGATTTAAGCATAGCTTTAAGGATTGAGCCTTGAAGTAGCAAATATCAGGATCTATGGCATGTCTTGGGGATGAAAAGTTATGTCTCAACAGAGTAACTATGATTCTTTTTTTTTTCCAGACTCTCTGCGTATCTTCCATCTTTATGTGGCTTATTTATTTATCTATTATTATTACTTTATTTCTTTTACTTTTATTTATTTTTCTCTGAGACAGGGTTTCTCTTTGGAAATCTGCCTCTGCCTCTGGAGCAATTCTTTGTTTTTATTCTCCAGATTTATTTTGGTAAAAAAAAATCAGATATAACCTTTCAAAAATTACATTAATGTTTAACATGCATTCAAATAACTTTCTTTTTTTTCCAGTTTAAATTTAGATAAGAAACGAGGTTGGTTCACAAGTCAGTTCCAGGTCCCTCTCTTTTTCCCTCCCCTCCTCCCGTGTCCTCCCCCAACCCCCCCCGTTATCCCCTCATTCCCCCAGGGAGGGTGAGGCCCTCCATGGGGGTGTCCATAGTCTGTCATTTCATATAGGGCAGGGCCTAGACCCTTCCCCAAGAGTTCAGGGTGAAAGTGCACCTCACATTATTCTATGGGAGTCCAAAGTCCGTGTGTATACTTGGGATGGGTACTGATCTGCTGCCCAAGGCTCAATAGGTTCCCTAGGCCTCCTCACTGACACCCAAGTAAATATGACTCTTATACAATAGGCACATATGTTGTAAAAAATGAAAGTTCCTCATCAAGAAATATCCCCAGGAGAATTATTACTCTTGCCAATAATTGCATCCTACAGCCAAATGATATCCTAAACATGAATACACAAAAATGCTAGTTGGTTTGGCCATTTCAATCTGCTTAGTTCATGGTTCATTGAAAACGTTGCTGTGAATTTTAGTCTACATAATGTCTCCTTTTGATATTATCAGAAATTTTGGGAAATGCCAGTGAGGCAACAACATGTTACCTGGGAAACCAAGGTCCTTAAATAGAGTACTTAGTCTCACCAATGAAAGAATTTATGAATGAGCTCAAAACTGAAGAAAACTTAATTGTAACTTAAAAGAAACAAATCCAAGGCAGCCAGTTGTAAGTCTCACTAGCTACAAGGAAGAGGAATAGGGAGAAGAACAGAGAGAGACACGGCATTTGAGTTAGTTCTGCACGGAGGTCACCCACAGCAGCACAGACATGCACTTGCAAGGTAGAGATGGGCACTGCAGGGGGAGAATGAAGGGAAAGCATTAGGAAGAGCATACTTAGAAAAGAGATACGAAGAGGAACAGGAAAAGTTGTGATGTTCTAAGTAATTCAGACAGACCTGGGAAACTGTCTGCAGCCCTATATGAGGGGTGGCAATTCTGGGATGTAATAGCACTTTACCTCACTCATTATTCCTTGTCTCCCTTGAGCATGGCGTAAGGTGACCCTACTTCCCAAGGAGTGACTCTTTGGATAGATTATTGGCCAGACCAAACATTAATTCTTTCATATTTTGAGTAGCCTGGAATGTGAGGTCTCCACCCAGGCCAGAGACATGGCTTTCCCCAGTGGGTTTCCATAGGTCACAGAAAAGTGCTACCATGGTGAATGACACAGATAGGAAGAATGTCATCAGTAACTGAGGAATTAAGCAGAATACCTGGCTATAGATATACTTCCATCACATATTTAGTAAATCCTATATTCATTACTTTAGCTAGATTAAACAGTTTACATGAACATAGTGTTAATGAATTGTGTCAGATGAAATAAAATAATGGACAGAGTCCTCATGTCTTTCTTCTCTCTTTAAGATAGCATATTTGAATGGTGATCTCATGCTTTAGTCTTATACTGAGTTGGAAAGGGGAATAAAACAGAAATCATTTTTAAGTTCACACAGCTTAGGCTTAAGTTCTGACCCCATCTTTGACTTAGTTTGGTTTTGTGAAAAAGCACGTAATATTACTGTTTCTTTTCCTATAACACATAGCAATAATCTGATACCTCAGGCTATTTACACAACACATATCTAGCAAGCATAAGATAACAGGATATGTAACATATGAGGCATATTGTTCTACAATGTAAGTTAGTGAGTTAATATGTCAAGCATGTTGGTATTTTCTTTATTACATAGTGAATACTTTTAGTGAGGAAGTGAACTAGTGCCTATTTCTGTAATCCCTGGATGTTTAGCACATTACCCTCATTCCTCTAAGCTTCCCACATTTCCATTCTTTTTCCATATTACCAAAGCATGGTGCTTGCTTTGGAATTTGATTTGTATTTGTTTTGTGTCCACAGAAAGGAGACATCATAGACATTATCTGTAAAACCCCGATGGGAATGTGGACAGGGATGCTGAACAACAAGGTGGGAAACTTCAAATTTATTTATGTGGATGTCATCTCAGAAGAGGAAGCAGCTCCTAGGAAAATAAAGGCACAGAGAAGCAGTAAAAGAGACAGAGCCAAGACTCTGCAGGAGTTCCTAGAGCAGATTCGCCTGCAGGTTAGTAAACCTTTGTTCTGTGGTTCTGCTGGAAAATGGGTAGAATGGGTGAGGAGAGTGGATCAGTATTTTCACAGGGTTGTTAACAGTCAAGATTTACAGTGGAAGAAAACCTGTTTTCCTAGGCAGCTCTTACATCTCCTTTATTACTTTTACTATTTTAAGCACCGGTCTTGATGGAGCACCCTTTGGACTAAACCCTAATGCTCCTTAGTAGCCAGTGGCCATAGAGATTCATGCAGAGACACTGCAATGAAAATAGAAGAATATATATCTAGGAGACCAGGGGACTCTGGAAAAAATGTTTAAGTGAGAATGATAAAGAGAATGTAAAGACTCTAGTGAAATTTGAGGGACTGAGAAGAAAAATGAAAGGAAGCTTGTATTTTTATAGTAGAGAGATCAACATGAAGTGCAAAGAAAATAACTAAAAATAATCATCTGAGAAGCAGTTGTAGAAACAGTGGTCATTAGTGTTCACATGATCATCTCACAGAAAAGTTTATTTTATAAGCACTTGAACCCATCACACCACTGGCACTCCAATTGTCTGTTTTTATAACCCTGTTTTTTATATTTGTGCCTTTGAAAACAAACAGCTCTTGTTAAGTGGTATAATATACTGTGTAGTGTTATATACACCCTAAGTAGTACCATGCCATTCTCAGTTTTGCATCCCGTTAAAAAAGTCACTCATCAGTACTTGGATAGTGCAATTATATTTTTCTTAATTGGTATTCCTGAGTCATTAAGTTACTCTCCTGTCTTCCAACATACTGTTTAAGTTTCCTTAGAGAATGATTGGTACAGTGTGGTACTCCTGGGAGGAAACACAGCTTGAAACCTCCCTCTGTCACCTCTGGAAATATGCCTAAGTGTGTTAAACATTGTACTCAGGAAGTTACAGGTTGTTGTGTAAGAATGGAAACTTGGGTACTTCGTGTTATACTAAAACACATTGTCTTTCAACAAATTATCACTCTTCTTCCCCCAGTTTTGGTTAAAATGTGGTTTGTAATAAGTTTTTCTTGATTACTTAAAACTTTCTGACATCATATTCAAATTGAGTAACTGAAATAAAGATATTAAAACTATGATCCTTAAAATTGCAATATTAAAGCCATGACATTTTGAGGAAGCTGAAAAACAAGTGAACTTCACTTTGCATATTCAGTTTGCTAGAACCGTGGTCACAGAAATCACATAGATTAGGGCTTCTCAACCTTCCTCGTGCTGCAACACTCTAATACAATTCCTCAAGCTGTGATAATCCCAGCCCTAAATATATGATGTGAAGTGTATGTGATATACAACCCCAGCGGGGGGTCAGAGCCCACAGATTGAGAACCATGCAGATACTTTATGATCACAAGTCGAGGAAATATACGCTGTTACAAATGATAGACAAAATATCCCTACTGAGGAAAGGAAATAAACACTTTCTTAATTGTGAGCATTTCGTATGTAACTAAAATTTTAATTTGAAACTTGAATAGCATATCTGTGATTCATTAGGTACATAATACCTTCCAATAAGTCAAAACGCTAAACACATTTTGTATACAGAATTATATCTGGTTCAAGTTCATTTTTACTTTTCACATTTATTTATTCATTCATTTACTCTCTCTCTCTCTCTGTGTGTGTGTGTGTGTGTGTGTGTGTGTGTGTGTGTGTGTGTGTAAGAGGACAATTTCAGGAGTGAATTTCTTCTCTTACCATTTATATTCTGGAACCCAAGACACGTCATCAGCCTAGGGAGCAAGAGATCAAGCTCATTTTTTAGGTACTCTAAGAAAATAAAGAGAGCAGATTGGCCAAGCAATCAAAAAGAGAGACTTGTTTAGAAATATTACTATAATTTAATTGATTAGAGATACTGTACTGAAAAAAGAAAATGCTGTGTCAATTTAACTAGGTATGAAGTGAAAGTGCCAAATGGCATGGACAATTCAGCTGGTAAATGATCCATGATTTCCTACTATTTAGATCCAAGTGATTATTTCTTCTTTACAGCTGTCATTCTGAAGGTTAAGAACTTACAGTGCTTAACCTTCAGTTTAACATGCCCTAGAGTTTGTTTGTGGAAAACAGTGTAAATAAAATGAGCGTAGGCAAAAGTTTTGTTTTTGCTATCATAGGCGTTTCTACAATTACTTTCATTTAGATAAAACACTATATTTGGGCCCTACTAGTTTACAGATTATACACATTTCCCTCCTCCTACAGGAATATACTTCAACACTTCTGCTCAATGGTTACGAGACCCTGGAAGACTTGAAGGATATTAAAGAAAGTCATCTCGTTGAATTAAACATTGCCAATGCAGAAGACAGGATGAGGCTACTCTCGGCTGCTGAGAGTCTCCTGGATGAAGAAAGTAAGTGTACATACCCTTTCTTCTCTCTCCTGATCATCATGCCTTGATATAAATAGTAAACAGTTAAAAGCAAAGTTTCCATGTCACTTACTAAGAACCATATAAAGCATTCTTCCGTATAACATGGGAAAATTTTTTTATAATTTCAGACACAACTCTGGTTAAAATGTGTAATTAGGGAAAAGATTTTCAATGTATTCTTAAAAAAGGAAAATATTTCTCTGGGTCTCTTGTTTTGGTTCTCCCAACCTATTAAATTACACACAAGTGGATGCCTGCATTCTCAAAGACCAAGTGACTTAGAGACAACTATTTTAGTGACAGCATGAATTATTAGTGAGAAAAGTCACACAGGTTTTCCATAGAACAACAAAGAGCCTGGCTCTAAGCTAATGAGCTATCCCATCACATAGGAAAATTCATTTCATTACCATATAGTCACATCTTGTGTGTGTTTATAGTATTCTTTGTAAATGTTATAATACCTTGCAAAAATATTCAGCACTCACCTTTATTATCAGCAATGGCTCTCTGTATTTGTAAATATAAACTAAAGATGATATAAAAAATGCTGATTCATTTACCGTTGAGTACAAGTTATGCCTGCTGGGTTTATAAAAATGGGATAGCTTTTATTTTTACAGCTTCCCATTCAGAACACTATTTCTACCAAGTCTAGTCAAGCCTCCAAATCCTGAGTTTAGGGAAGGCCAAGTACTGCCGAGTGTTTTGTAATAGAAAGAGGAGGAATGGAGTTTCTGCTCTAAACACATGCAAACAGGGCAAAACTAATTAGACACCATAGGTGTGTAAGGTGTGTATGTATCCTTGTTGTTGTTATTGTTTGTGTGCATGTGAACAATAATTACAGATGGGGATGTTGGGAAAGCATGGTGGGAATTGGAACAGGAGGAGGAGAGGAAATGACGTGAATATAGTATATTCATGTATGGAATTCTTAAACAAAAATTTTTAGGAGAAAAAGACAAAAAACTTCAAAGCTTAAAGCACATTTTTGACATTCTTTTTTTATTACTTTAATTTTAAATAGCTTGCTTCACAAGTCAATCCCAGTTCCCTCTCCCTCCCCTCCTCCCGCACCCCCCCCACCAACCCCTTCAGTCTCCCACCCTATCGCCACTTCCTTCCACATAGGGGATATCCAGAGTCTGTCATTTCACTCAGGGCAGGGTCCAGGCACTCCCCTAAGAGTCCAGGCTGAGAGAGTATCCCTCTTTGTGTTATGGACACACGAAGTCCATTTGTATGCCAGGGACAAACACTGATCTACTGCCCAGGGACTCATAGGTTGCCCAGGCCTCTTTTCTGACTCTCCCACTCAGGGGGTCCGGATCAGCCCCATGCTGGCCTCCCAGCTGTTGGTCTGGGGTCCAAGAGCTCCCCCCTTGTTCAGGACAGCTGTCTCTGCGGGTTTCACCAGCCCATTGTTTGCCCATTTGCTCATCACGCCTCTCTCTGTGTCACTGGGTTCCAGTGGTTCAAGTCAGTGTTTAGCTGTGGGTGTTTGCCTCTGCTTCCATCAGTCACTGGATGAAGGTTCTAGGATGGCATATAAGGTAATCGTCAAGTTCATTATCAGGAATGGGCATTTAGGGTAGTCTCTCCACTATTGCTTAGTTTGCCAGTTCCTGTCATCCTTGTAAATTGCTAGAGGTCCCACTGGTGCCAGATCTCTCTTCAAACTCATGACTCCTTCTATTATGGTATTTCTCATCCTGTTCTCCCCCTATTGAGCTGGGAAGAAGAGAGGGAGAGAAGAGGAGGAGAGAGTAGGTCATGGGGGAACAGGAAGGTTGAGTGTGTGTGGGGGTAAAACACATTTTTTAAATCACCCAGTCTTCTCTTTCAACTAAAACTAACTGTAGCTTTTCACTGCTGTCTTCAAAAATAACACTCTAAGTAAAGCTTCATTCAAAGGCCTTCATGTTTATTATTTTCCTGTGTGCTGTCCCCAGGTCAGATAAACATTTAACCCCCCTAATTACAGTGAGAACCCAAGGCAGTTCTCACTGTAATTAGAACCTTGAATGAGGTAGGTCCTAGTGATTTCAAAGATAAGATTCCAGTCCAATGTCAGGGAAGCATTGCTGGGATTAACACTGCAGAAACAGTTCAGATGGCAAGCAACAGGGGACTCTTTATATAGAACCAGACCTCTTGACTTCTTTTGTGGGTTATCCTGTTGCTCATTTCAAAAGGCCTACCAAACAGGTGTGGTCTGGCTATACTAGCTTCATGTGTGGTAAGAATGAATGTACTTCTTCAGAAACCTGCTTACTTTTTGGGTGCGTGCAGTCTTGTGATTGCACAGATACGTATCCTTTCCCAACGTGTTTGGTATGCATGACTAACCCAACACTGGTAGAAATGATTCTAAGTCCTGGTTTTATTTGAAGTTTTGGGGACTGAGAGATAAGCACAGGAAGATGAAGTCTCAAAGGCAGGCAAAGACTGACTTAGAAAAGCAGATGGCTTATCCAGTAGCATGAGCTCAGATAAAATCTGCCAGTGAGAAATGACGCAGAGATAGCGCTTAGGTAGCCAAAGCAGCTTCTTTTTTTTTACATCCTGTCATTTCAGTTCATGGCTCCTCACTGAACAATGTGTGCTAAGAAAAAAATCTGTAGGCTTGTTGTGTTGATTACGTGCAGTGACACAGCCAATCTGCAAAAGTTTGTGCCCATGAAGTATAAGGAGGGGAAAGAGTGGTTTCTGGATGTTTGAAAACACTGGCTGTTCTCCTACAATTCATAACCCTATCTTGTCCTATTTCCACCTGGAGGAAATAATCAGAAATGAATTTGAAGAAGGCAAACAAGTAGATGAGAAGGAAAGGTAGGGCTGTGACCAAAGTCACACTGCTCTAAAGGTCAAAGCTGTACCTTCTACATGTGCAATCCAGTAAATAAAAGTAGATAAACATTTTAACATGGGAACCTTCTTCTCCTTTATCAGTTTCCTAAAGGATAATATTCACAAGATAGAAAAACTAGAACAAGTATAGCTAAGCTGGAACTTAGTCTGCTATGCCTATGAGATTGTATGTTACAGTGTTTCCTGGTCTCTGAAAACAAAACACATCACATCATGTGACTTTGATTGTTGAACCTATAAAGAGGACAAACGTCAGAAATTATTTCCCTGCATAAGACGTTTTAGTATGTGGCACTTGAAAGTCAAGCAATGCTGAATATAAGCATATACACAGGGAGTCTACTTTCAGCAGACAAATAATAGAAAAATGCAGATTTGACTTATGTCACTTTCAACACACAACCCTGAGATTATTCTTATTTTAATCTTATGGTATAAAGTAGTGTTAGAATATACATGTCAAAAAGATGCATATTGTGTGTTAGGCTACTCTGACTGAAAGTTATTTATCTTCTATGAAACTGCTTTGCTTATGAAATAAAGAAGAATGGCTTCCATTTGTTGATAAGATGGTGAATTCTGATGATGCGGCACCATGGTGCTGCAGGCTTATTTTTATCTATCCTATTTTGTGAATCATATCTTCTACAACCATCCTAGAGATTAAATGCACAACCTTCATGTTCCTTGAATGATAAAGACCTTGAATATATGGTTATTTAAAAGTGTGACATTGTTTAATAAAACAAATGCATGTCACAGTCACAGGCTAAAAATAGCTCTTTGAAAAGAATGGGATGCACAAATTAGCCCCATTTTATGTAAGCATCTTTATTACTATCATTGAATAACACCAGATCATGCATGCCCTAATTTGGGGTTCCACTCTTAGGCTGAACTTTGGAGAGTTTTGGCTTTGCCAGTCATTTACTATAAAAATTAAGCAATCTGGGCATGTGTCTAAAGTTAAAAACGTGATAATTCAGGGAAGACCACAAGACCAATGTGAATCCTTAATATATGTGGAGTATTAAAGAGGATAGGAGACAGGATAAAGGTAGGGAACAAGAATCTATGATTTAGACATTTTTAAAATTTTCATTGTCTCTTAGGCCAGAAATAGATAGTATTGTTCTAACTTTGACCTTTATAATTTATAGTGGACTAGACACTACTTGGAGGGAGGCAAGATTCTTCACCAACTAGCTGATACAAGGGCAATGAGAGGTGTTCAAGCTTGTCACAGGTTTATTGCTGGACAATGGTGACTTTGGGGCTTAGTCCCAGCAAGATAATCAGGGGTATTTGGAATCCACTACCATGTTGCATTAAAACTGAGCAGAAAAAGGTCATTGGCTCTGTCACCTGGGAATGTAGATAAAGTGTGGGACAAAGGATAAAGGGGGGACTGTGAGTGAGTTCTTGAAGGGACAAAGAAAACAGGATATGTTTATTTTGTACATATAAGGGTCCCTGTGTTGATGACGGGGCTTTAAAATTGGTCTTTGCTTCTGGAGGAAATATTCCCACCAACTTGAGGAGGTGTGTGTGTGTGTATACATGTGTTGTGTTGCTGGAGGTGTTCTACATACAAAATCTTTAAAATCCCTTTGTCTTACTCAGAAATACTTCCTTAAAATAAAATAGCTAACTGCTGTTTATAGTATATTGTTTCCATTTCTTCTGCACAGTTTCTTTCAGTACATTTGGAATTACGTTGATGTGTCTTAAAATGTGTCTATCAAACTATGTACACCAGTCCTTGTGGTAAATGGGTGATGGAAATACCTTCCTTTCTTAGCACACAAGGCTAAATAAATTTTAAATTGTAAAATTATAGTAACAAATAAGAAATCTTCACAGGATTGGTATTCAGTAGATTTTAGATGCTTGTCAGTTCTGATTTCAGCGCCAAGTGAGGAGGAAGGGCGAAGGATGGGTTGTGTGCCAGGTTGTTGGCACAGGCTGTGGTCACAGCAGCTCCACATTGCTCTACCGTCCCCAGTTGTGCCTTCCTGCCTGCCCAAGTTGATGCAGGGCAAATGGGAGGGCCCTGTCAGTAGCTGGAATAAGAGCCGCCAGCAGGGGAGATCTGCAGTGATGGCAGACAGCCGTCCAGCAGTTGGTCCAGCAGTGTGCCTGTGTAAGCTGGAGTCTAGCCCCTGACATGTGTACCTGGGCTTTCTAACCCATCTGGAGCATGATCTGAATCAGGATACAAAAAAGATACACATTTTTAGAAAAGATACAATAATTGCTCACATAAACAAGTAGAGGAGACAGACATTTTACTGGTATTTGTTTACACATTGACACACACACACATACACACATCTTAGTGTATTTCTAATCAATGCTGCTTGTCTTTAGGATTTAATTTCTCCAGATTTATTTTTTGTTGTCACTACCTAAGATTTCATTTATGGTAAATAGCATATTCTATACAATAAAATTTAACTGCAATAACATTTTTTACCCTTTCTTCAGAGAGTAATTTCTAGTGAGAAGAACCTAGAGACTTTTCACAACAGTCATATAAAGACTACTGTAATGCCTGTGTGTGTGTGTGTGTGTGTGTGTGTGTGTGTGTGTGTATAACACTTTAGCACTTGCTTTTAAGCTACAGTGAGACTGATGTACCCTAGCCATGGCTTTGAAAGGATCACCTTGGACAAACAAGATGAAATCTTCTAACACATGTGCTTTCCTAATGATCCCAATCCTGTTTTCCATCGCTAGGAGTCTAACAAATGCTTACAGATACAGATATCGAGTGAGGATTCTAAGTGAAGAGACTTGCAAAAAGTGAGGAAGACTCTTTCCTGATGATATAAAGTGATGTGTCCTGTAGTCCCACCATACATGTTTGAGTTCTGCAATAGGGAGATGGGTGGTTTGGTATCTGCTCAACATTTAATTCATTAACATGATACCGACGTATATATGTGTGTGCAGAGTATAATATTTTGGTAAGCAATCATGCATAAAATAGAAAGTTTAAAATAGGAATAGGTTAAATATATAGTAGTTCAAATTCTAAGATTTTTTCCATTAAATTTACCACAAAAAAAGTGTTAGCTCAAATGCTAGGTCTAGTTACAACTTAAAATTAAACCAACTAATTTTGATTAAGACATACATTACAAAGCAAAGTATTTTTAAGACACTAAGAGCCTGATATTGGTCTCTGTATTGGTATGAACATATGTTCAAAGCCTTAAATGATATAGAGAATGTTTTTATTGATGCTGTGGCTGAATCCCTGACATGAGGAAACAAGGAAAGAAGGGGTTTCCGTATCATCGTTTCAGGGTACAGTCCATCCTGTTGGGGAAGTCTGGGCAGCAGGGGCATTGCCAACTTCTCACACTGCATACACAGTTAGGGAAAGACAAATGCCAGTGCTCAGCTCACTTTCTCACACTTATTCACTCCAGCATATGGAATAGTCTCACTCCCATCTAGGGAACATTCCCTCATCTCTTTCAATCCAATTTAGAAGCTACCTCACAAATATGCCAAGAGGCATGTGTCATGTTGATCCCACATCCTGTATAGCTGACCAAATTAAACATTATGAATGATAAAAAAGAAACAAAAACCCAACAATTCATATGTGGGTAATCTTATTTTTATAAAAATCATCATTTAAGGAAAGAAGATGTGAATTCCTGATATATTGATGAATGAAAAAAAATGCACCTCTAACCTCTTAGAATTTTATTTTCTTTTGTTCATTTACTATTTTTCTTGCTAAACCTGAGAACTAAGCTGGCATAAGAAATATCGATTGTAGATAATAAAGATGTCAGCATTTATTTAATATGTTTTATATGTCAAGGAGTATTTTCTAAGGAAATTAAGAATCCAACAGCTATAATTGAACTTTTTATACAGTCATTTTAAAAAGGGCAATAGACTAGTACTATAGCCAGGCCAAGGGTCTTGGCATGGACTAGTCAATGTGGTAGAGAAATGGCTTGGAAGGTACAGGTTCATGCAGAGGCTTACCTTGGCCTCAAGCTTGCCTCTAGTGAATTCCTCACAGGGGACCTTCCTCTCCATCAATGGGAAGAGGAAAGTCCTCTTGCATATGCTGCTGTCCAAGTACATCCAATTTCTAATAGTCAGCATGCAAAGTGACACATTTAGAGATGATGGGATCATAACTTCATCATTTATTTGAATTATAAAATTAATTTCCAAAGCCTGTTGCTAAATAATGTACCATAGTTGGTTTTTGTATCTTATTTGTTATTAGCAACATAGTCCACTATGACAACTCAAACAAGTGGAGTCATTTCTCAAGACCAGAGTCTCCCAGGCTGTGATTGAGAGAATGGCATCAGGGTGGTGAGGACCACAATTGTGCTTTCTGGTCCTGGCATTGAATGACTATGTCTTTCCCTGAAACAGTGCTCAGCACTGTGCAAGTGATAATTGCTGCAGATGTTGATGATTAGATTTCCTCCTGGTACACATGCCACTAGAGGGTGGCCAGAATGCTAGGCTGCAAGCATGGATTGGTGACTTCTATTCCATCTTCTCTCACCCCTAAGAAAAACAGTCACAAACAATTGCTTTTCCTTGAATGGGCTTCTTGTATTTTGTTTGTCATTCTAAAAATTAGGTTACTATAAAAAACAAAAACAACCAATGTTACTATATAATTTAAGGGCATACTTAAGATGTATTAGTTATTAAAGTTTCCTCCATAGTAAGGCCTTGAGATACAAAATACCAGCATGGTTATCTGTGGAATGGCTGGGTTCCAGGGTTAGGGACTCAAATGGGGTTCAAACATGAAGAGGTGGCTATCCTAAAATGTGTATGCATGTTCTTCCTCTCTGGTTACTGCACAGCCACAGAACAAAGGCAGAAAGCCAAGCAGAAACTTCATTTCTCTCGAGTTCATAGACTCCTCTGTGGTCACCTTAAGTTTTAACTTCACTATTGTAAATATTGTTTTGTTAGTGTAAAACCACTTTCCATCAATACATCCTTTGGCCAGCAATTTTCCTGTGACTCTCAGCTCACATTATTGATAGTTCAAGGGGTCACAGAAACAGATTTTTTTACAGTGTCAATTTTATTATTTCTCGTAACATGCTTATGATTATAAGTTTCGTTTTCTTTTTCCTTCTTAAAACTATACTTTTCATTTTACATGCTAATGCCAGTTTTCCTTCTTTCCCTTCCTCCTGCTCCTCCTTCCCCATCCACTCCTCAGTTCTCCCATTGGGAGTCAACAAAGTCTATCACATCTCTTTAAGGAAGGACCAAGGCCCTCCCTGCTATGGCTAGGCTGAGCAAGGTATCCCTCCATAGGGAATGGGCTCCAAAAAGCCAGTTCATGCACTAGGGATAAATCCTGGCCCCACTGCCAGTGGCCCCATAAACTGCCCAAGCCATACAATTGTTACCCACATTCAGAGGGCCTCGTTTGGTCCTGTGCAGGTTTCCCAGCTGTCAGTAAAGAGTCTGTGAGCTCCTGCTATCTCAGGTCAGCTGTTTCTTTGGTTTTCCCTATCATACACCTCCCTCTTTTCCACCAGACTCCAGGAGCTCAGCCCAAAGCTTAGCTGTGGGTCTCTGTATCTGCTTCCATCAGTCACTGGATGAAGGCTCTATGATGGCAATTAAGGTAGTCATCATTCTCATTACATGGGAAGGCCTGAATTGTCAGGCACCCTCTCCACTATTGCTAGGGGTCTTGGCTAGGGTTATCTTTGTGGATTCCTGGGAACTTATCTAGTGCCAGGAGAAACGGATATTTTTACATCTAAAGCAAACATGACAGTAAAGTTCAAATCTGGGAAATTTTGGGTTAAAAAACTTGGAAGGTCAAGCAAAAATAGGAAGTCCTTACTTTCTCTTCATAATTTGTGAGACTGGGAAACTGAGAAGGTCTTCCCAGGAAAAGGCTCTAGTTTTATGCCTTCAAAGTGTTCTTCACTTTTAATAAAATCGAGACTGCTTGTAGTTAATTAATTAAATGTCACAACTCCAATATAATTACTTTATGAATAATTATATTACCTGTCTTATTTTTTTAATCACCATGCCATTTTTCAATATGATGACAATCTTAAATCTATGATTTTTGATTCATGGACTTTATATCATTCTCTAAAAATTTTGGTAGGGAATAAATATTTTCTTAATATGGCAAATTTAATTTCATTGTGTGGCATATAGAATTTAATTGATGAAGTTTTTATTGTGGTTACTATGGAGTGTAGTAAGAAATACATGTCAATACTGTAGTCACTTATGGTCATGTTTAAAAAATGCTTAGTCTTTGGGAAAAAATCACAAAGCATTCTGTGGCTATTTTGAATAAAAATACTATTTTACCATATCCACAATCTAAAAATAAAATACAAAGTATAGTAGATATCTAGGAAATAAGCCGAAAATCCATCTAATATTTGAATATATCCATTTGATAATTATATAAGCATATGCTTTTATAAAACTAGAATAACACAGCATAGAAAAATGTGTTGTTTATTTCGTTGTTTTTTTAAGTATCAACAGAAATTTTTAAGTGTATAAATATGCACTCAGAAATTCTCCACGAAGTTCACAGTTTCGGCAGTAAAGAGTTTCTTACTACAATGTGTTATTTGCCTGGTTAGTTGATGATTGGACCACAGGACAGAGCTGATGTAGACTGTGGTATCAATTTCTAGGTAAGGCAGTTAGCATTGCTCCGTTTCACCAATACACGAGAGGTCTAAATGACTTAGAATGAAAATGTGAGTGTATTACTGTGAGTTTACTCTCTGTAGCCAAAAAGAAAATCCAAATAAATAAAACAACATCAACAACAACAATAGAAGGCCAAGACCTACATTTATAGCAACCCCTGACATTAGTATCAGGATGACAAGAACCAAGAAGAGATCTGGCCCTCTGCATCCAAAGCCAGGGTACTATGGAGCTGTCCCCTTCATAGTGCTGTGTGATGCTCTATCTTTTCTTTTTATAGTTACAGTTGAGGGGCTCCAGCTAATAACCTGCCTGAAATTATCACAGGCCTGGTGGGAAGCACCTGAGGAGAACAGGCATGTTTTCACTTCACGTGGAACCCATTAGCAAATCACTGCTGTTCTCTAAATTACCTTGCTGCTTAAGTCTCAGCCTGAGACACTACTTTGCCTCCTCATACAGATTGAAGATGGAAGGACTCTCACAGTAAAGAGCCTGTATTTAAAACAAAGCAATTCCTAGAATTCAGAGACCGTGAGACGGCATTTCTCAGATGGAAACAAAAAAAATGCTCTTTCACTGCTAAAAGAGAGCATATGTTCTGGGAAAGTCAGCTTTTCACTGACTGTGTGGTGACCATTTGCGGTGAATGTGTAGACGCCACTGATGATGAAGAAATGAAGCCTAATATTTATTTTTTTGAAAGAAAAAAATGGAGACAATTCTGGAAATCAGAGGCTCCTGTGACTAAGTTTTCTATCTTCAAAATTGCTCCACGAATTCTCCTCAACCTGAACAGGACACAGGGCTAGGGACAAACGAGTCTGACGATTCCAAGTTTTGCTTAGAATGTCATTCTGATCAGAAGTAGCTCAGGCTTTTCATCTTACATTGAGGTAAGAGGCCCACACGTAATCTGAGAAAACGTGGCTTTTGTTCCCCTGCGTGACTAAAGGGGTCATACTCAAATCCCTGCAAATGTGGCAGTGTGTGTACTGAAGAAATAGTCTGGCTTGCCTTCTCCAAAAGTGCCAGGATGATGGAACTGAACTTGTTCCTTTCTTTATGATAGCAATAAGATGAAAAGGCAGAGGCAACTCCTTAGAAAAGGATGCTTGAACTCGGCTGTCTGTCCATAAAAGGAGGGCTTGGAAACACAACTGACAGACCGACATCAAGTCCTCTTACTAAGTAAATCTCCTACAACTTATGGGTCTTTGCTAATAAACAGCAAATGCTTCAAGGCAGCTGCCTTTTATGATCAAACTATTAACACACTCAGGATTCAGAAGCCAGATAACAGAATAATTAAAAGGTGTAGCAAATATTTGTCAGGAGAATATTACTATTATATCATATTAATATTATATATCAGGAGTCATTTATTCAGGAGAATGAGGTAAATGTGGCATTGATCCTCCAGGAAAGGGCTAAAGGAAATGGTCTGTTCCATTTTGAAGATGAGTAGACTAGGAGGTGATTTTTAACATTTTTTATCAGGCTTTCTGTACAAGTACTTACCTTGTAACTATAGAATCAGAAAATACATTAAGCATTTTTTCAATGTATCTAATTGTGATGCATAACTACCAACATTCTGACATAAGAAAGGCAAGTCATTCAGCATATACAGGCATCCCTGAAATCACCAGGGCTTGGTTCTCATGCCTACCAGATGTTAGTGAGGACTTATTGCCTAGATGGCAGACATAAACCAACATTGACAAGAAGGAACCTAGACAATGTTCTTGAAACATAGAAGATGACGTGGGAGATGATGCCAGGTTCTTAGCATTATGTGAGTCAACTGAAAACATTTTGAATCTCTTCTATATTTTCTTTTAATCAGAATTGGATAAATGCAGGGCAATGTGATTAAGAATATAAAGCACAATTCTAACCTCAATTGTAAATCTACGGGGCTTGGTCATCCCAGTGAGGATGCGAACGCTGAAGAGTGAAGTAAGAGTCCCTGCTACTAGGTGAAAACAGAGGGTGAGCTAATGTCGTAATACAGCTAAGAGATGACAGCTAGAGATTCATTTTCTGTCTGAAGAACTTGACTCACAATGCATAGAAATACCTACCTCTGGTCTCAAAGAGCACAAAGAATCTTCACACTGACAGCGAGAAGCCTAATGACAAAGGATGCCTGAAAGGAGTCACAGGATACAAGGCTGCTTAGGTTCCTTAGAGAAACATTTTGTTCAAGTTCTGATATACTTCATTCTAAAAGATAGTACCTTTTTGTATATCAAAATGCTTTGGTAAATAAACCTTGAAACAAACTATTGTTATTTAGAACTAAAAGGTGCATAAGACAAATTAAATTTCATGAAGCAGTTCTGGGTAATTTGGAAATTTGTACTCAAAAAGTGCCTAGTTTTCTTATGTCTGTTTCTATGGTGAATGCAGATACAGGAAAATTTTGCATATTTCAAATAATGTTAGCTAAATTCCAAGTGCTTGAAGACCTGCTGTACATTTTCTCATCGTGAGTGTTCTTTTACCTATATATCCACATATTCATAATTCCAGAACTGTTGTTTGTCAAGATCACTGGGATTATACTTCAAACTACCGTTGACTTTTCTAATGCTCCTTTAAGGAATATTTGGACCAGGAATTTGTCATACTGTGGATACAATCTGTGTTCTTTGGCAACTTATTATTAATGTAAAAATGACAGTTCACATTGGTCTTTGCACATGTAGGCAGTTCACTTGAATAACACGAAAGTAAAAGGGAGCAGTCATGAGCAATTGCTGGTTCCCAAAAGTTTTAATATGGGAATTCACATACCTGTTTTTAAACAAATCAATCTGCATTTTATTCACAGGAGTGTCTTTTGAAATAAAGATTGGAATGGTTAAAATGGGATAATGTTTGCAAATGACAATCATATAAAGCTTGTCTTGACTCTCCCTAACCACCACACATTTTCCATTTATAGCCACCGAAGAGCAAGAAAATGAATCTGTGCCTTTGTCATTAAGACCAGACAACTTAAGTAAGTCACAGTTAGATGACTGCCCAAGGGACTCTGGCTGTTACATCTCATCAGGAAACTCAGATAATGGCAAAGAGGACCTGGAGTCAGACAATCTGCCTGACATGGTACAGAAGATTGCCATCACAGAACCCAGTGTCTGAACACACACTCATATCTCCAGGTCTGCAGCAGAATTCCATTCGAACTCTTCATCTGCTACGAGATCAAAAGGAAGTGTTCCAAATGCATCCCAGAGTACAGCATGTTCTAATATGAATGATTGCACATACAAATTTATATCTCTGAATTCCCAATGAGTGTGCATAAAATGTATATTTGTTAAGTACCATGTGTTAAAGTTCATCTGTCAAAAAAAAGAGTTCCTCTGTCTATACTAGAAAAAAGATACAATGCAAGATACCATGTCTATGAATGGTATATGATGTGCTTGCCTTTATTTCATAAGTGTACAAATATAGTCACAAATCTGTGTATTTATATATATATATTAATGAATACATTATTGAATACATTTCAGCTGAACTGATTTCCACAGGCAGCATAACACTCATTTTTTAAATTGCTGTAAGATATAGGCTGAGATTAGATACTTTGTTCTCATCAAAGGTGGAGTTTTTTGTTTATTTCTTCACTCTGTTACTTGATATGCAGATAGTTAACCATATACTTCCTGTTTTGATTTAATAAAAAATAATTGTAGAATGTTTTATTTTGTATGTAAGTATTTTTAATTTTCCTCAACCCTAATAATAATAAAACCATGTATATGCTGTATTTTCTGGACTAAAGTTACTTAAGGTATTTTAATATTATATTTTAGAGAATATTTTCATTAGGCCATGTACTTAGATAAGAAAGCATACCAATTCGAAAATCATCTCATAAACCAAGATCTATTTTACTGAACTCCTGAATGCTCCATATCTCAGCTTGACATGCCCAAACAGTTCATTCTTACTATCAAATTGTTTCTCCTATTTTCTTTCTACCTCACCATTTTCCCCCCAAAACCAAGAGCTGGTCACTGAAATGGAAAGTTTTCTTTGGTCTGCTTTTATCTTCCTCAAATTCACAAACGAGGATCCTACGTCTCCAAAGTCTTCTAATACTCATAACATCCCATCCATGCCCCCAAGGTGTGCTGCTATCACAGTTCAGACTCTTGTGTGGAATGTGGTAATGTCTTTCCAATAGATATCCCATCTTCAAATCCATCTTACATCGCCTCTAAGAAAAAGCTTCATGAGCCAAATAAAATCATTTTCCTTGCTTAAACATTTGATGGCCTCTCATTAACTTTAGCATGACGTGTAAATATGTGTAAGTTTTCTGTCAAGGACTTTGAACCTACCGTGGGGGTCATGTCTCTGACCTCAACTTGCAGTGCACAATCTACCCCCAGACTTCCAAATCCACTATTTCCTCTGTGACTCTCTTGTGTCAGGTCTTTTTTTCAGTGCCTAGCCTGATATTTGTAACACGAATATAAACCCAGAGACAGAGATGTTGGGGTTCAAGCTTCATGCTGAAGATCAGAAAAGAAAAGCAGCCAGCCACTAGCTCTTACTAAGGCTGAAATGGCGATCCTGCCTTCAGGAATTCTCAGACTACAATGCAGACTGCACTGCTCTCCACTAAGCCTCAGACTGCAATCTCTCAGTTTCTGTCTCCTCCCACCTTATATTCTAGCCATATGACTCCTGTCTCCACCTCCGGAGTCCTGGGATTAAAGGTGTGTATCACCACTGTTTGGCTCTATGGCTGTGGCTAGCTTTACATTTTTATCTCCAGTGGCTTTAATAAATCATATATATCACCACATTATTTCATCAGAATCATCCCTTTATTTTATCATCAAACTACCACAAAAAACCCATTCTGTGCTTTCTTCTTTGTGTTTTCAAGGCCCACTTATACATAGTTGGTTACAGAAATCCTCTGTTTATTCACACGATAGCTGTCTTTACACAAGAATGTGATCCCCTCATGAAAGAATTTATTTGTTTAGGCCTTTAACAGGAAAATCTAGCCCAGGAGGAACACTTAGAAAATATTTCCTAGAGTTTTTTGCTCATGGTGATTATTTCCAATAAGTCACTGTTACCAACCTACAATTAAACACCTTCAAATTATCTAAAAGTTTCTTTTTTTGTTTGTTTGTTTTGTTTTTGTTTTTCAAGACAGGACTTCTCTGTAGCTTTGGATCCTGTCCTGGAATTCTCTCTGTAGACCAGATTGGCCTTGAACTTACAGAAATCGGCCCTCTGCCTCCTGAGTGCTGGGAATAAAGGCATGAGCCACCACCGCCCAGTTATAGGTGTATAAAAAAGTTTTAAAGAAAATGTGGAGTTGGAAAGATGATTCAATGTTTAAAAGTACTTGCTCCTCAATCATGAGATCTAGAGATTGGACCCAACAGCCAAATGGGTGGCTCACAAACATTTGTAACCCCAGCTCCTAGGGACCAGAGTCTCTTCTGGCATCCATGAACACTCCCACACACATGTGGTCATAAAGTTTTACACACACACACACACACACACACACACACAATTAAAATCTTAAATAAGAGGCTTGGGTCTTTAGAGCAGTGACTGCTGTTTCAGAGAACCTGAGTTAATCCTAGCACTGGTCGGAACCAACAGTACTGGAGACTCAAGATCCAGGGGGCTCCACGTCCTCTTACCCCTGCCTGTAACTTCATTTCTATGAAGATTTCTCAACCCAGACATGTACAAACATGTAATTAAAATAATAAAAGTAAATCTTTAAAAAATGAAATAAAAGGTAATAAAGAAAACCCATGCAATGTTATTGTGAATGCTGAGGACAACACAGTAGCTCCAGTCTCTTTAAAAGACCTAATATCACCAGCAGTGCTATGTCAGGTAAGACGAACAGGGTTAACGCTAGTTCCTCCTCAGCAAAGTATGCCTTTTCCTGACTGTGGTTACTGCTCTTAGTAGATTAGTCTAGAAACTCTTTTTGGACACAGCACAGTTATATTGGCCTCAGCTTTTCTTTTAAACCATGTAACCCTACTCTAAGTTTGTTCAAGAGAGTGTCACATTTTTTATTGTAGTGCCAGGAAATTCTAGGTTGGGAAGTAACTGTAGAACCAACAAATAATAAAACAATGCTAATCTCCTACTGAGTTAAACTCACAATTTCTCACTCTTGAAATTTTTCATACCAGTTGAGGATTTGGGGACATCCTTTTGAAAAGAAGCTTTAAGGAGACAATAGCAAAGAAAGCCTGGGCTCTTCCTAAAGGAAGAAGACTGAGAAATAGAAAAACATGCCGCTTATGTGGCCAGCAGAAAGGGCTGGACATAGAGACCGCAATGATAAGGACATGTCTACAGAAATATGCCCTATCCAAGATGCTACTGCATTCCTTTACTTCCTAAGTCCCTGGACTTAAAGCATTCAAGCAAAAGAGGTCAAATCAACAGAGGGCAAGCAGATTCTCACTCATTGATCCTATACGGATCACCAAACAGAAAGAAGCAGGAAAGTAAGAGCTTTGCCAAAAGTCAGTGAGCTAAGGGAACTGTACCTTGTGCTGTTTTCTTCTAGGAGAGAGTTTGAGTCTGAGTCCTTTAAAAGCAGAAGAGGAGACGTTAGACAACCAAGGAGCTAGTATTTACAGGATAGTCTCATTGGATCTGTAGGTTTAAACCTGGCAAGGTGCCCAATCATATACATTATTTAGACCTGGTCAATAAGTCTTTTGGACCAGACATTGAGCTCTAGGAAGACAGTGGGATATACCTGTTGGAGCCAGTTGTTTTCAGATAGTTTAACATAGCTATAAAACCTTCCTAGCATGTGGTGATTATCTCATCACAAGGTGTTCCTATAATTGCAAATTTAGCTATGATAGTCGACAAGGTCAGAGAAATTTTAGCTCCACCAAATTTTCGAATATTAAAACAATATCCAATACATGGGATTTAATCTGTGTCATGAACATGTAAAGCAAGAACTAACTACCTGCATCTATCCTTCATTATTTATTAATTTATGTATTTATTCATCTATTAGATAAGGCACACTGGATCGTCCAGGGTGGCTTTAATATTTAATTCTCTTGCCACAGCCTCCTGAGTAGCTAGAATTACAGCTACCCATTAAATCCAGTTCAGTTTTTATGTCTTATTTATTTATTTACTTGCTAAATACAAAATTCAGAACATTTTACTTCTGGTTTTCCATTTATTGGTTAACTGATAAGTATGAATATTATCTTCAATTGCAAATATGTTACTAGTGACTTTTTTGTAGCTGATTATTAGGTTTCAGACAAGTTCCATTTCACTGAGGTTAGAGCCACCTGTCTTGCAACTTCCTGAGTGGGGCAAAAATTGATGACATTTAATGTTGAGAAATTTCCGCTTCAAGTCTCAGTTCTCAGAACTTATGGTGAAATGTTTGAGATGCTCCCTCATCTTACACACAAGTCCTACTCCACACTGCCACCAAAGGACTGCATAAATAATTAGCGCTCAGGTTTCAAACACTCTTGGTAAAGTGAGAAACCCTGCTAAATTTATGAGAAGGTTCAGAGATAAGTGAATAAAATCTAAATAGAGGTTAAATAACACTAGCAGTTTGTAACTTTGATAAGGTGTTTGAGCAGGGGGAATAAGAGAGAAGTCAGCCCAATTCTGTTCTGCCTCTATCTACCAACTCTGTTCTCTGAGATCTCTCTTGGATGTAGATCTGTAGACTAATGGTTTTGGAGATGAACTATCTGCTTTGGAGAACTATGGACTCCACTCAGGCATTTCTCATCAAAAATGATCTTTTTAACATAAAAATTATATAAATTACAGTATATTTATATGAGTCACTCAATCCAGTGCATGTAGTGTTTGTATAAAAGCCACTATGACTTTTAGACCCACAACTTAATTTTTCCCTACCCAGCTCTGGCTATTGGATGGAAGCAGTACTCATCCTGCGATCATACAGGTATGGACTAAGAGTGTTTTGAAAATCTTCAAACATAAATAGCCTGAGATCTACAGAACAACTGTGCTGGTCAGAAGCAATGAGGGAGAGTCAGCTGGCTGCACAGAGGGTAGATCAATGAGTTTTTACATAGCACATCATTTTTTGATGTGCTGAGAGTATAGAGTATAGAGTAGCTCTGTACTCTCAACACATGACACGAGAGCAATTATTTTTAATACTGAAATATTAAATATATAAATGATTGCATACTTTAATGAAATTTGGGATTGTTATTGCCATGAGTATTGGTTTCTCAGCTGACTGGTCTACAGGCAACAGAGAAGCCCTTAGAAGGCACCCTAGATGTAGGTATTTACATACATACAAAGGTTATATACACACATTATATATACATATATACACACATTTAGGTAGAAGATTGTCACAGGAAATCAAAGTGCTAACAGGTTACAAGGAATGCAAATATGCTATCTATTATGCCTCTTCTACATCTGCGTCATGAAAACCCCTCACATCTCCATTTCCAGCACTTAGTTTTGTTTGGTGTTGCATTTCACAAACTTATAAACCATAAGAGAAAATGAAAAAAAATGGCTTTAGTATATTCAGTGATGCTTTTGATCTCCTGGGATCCTAAGTGAGCCTAAGTGAAGAAAACTGTTTCCCCATAGGGGAGGAGAGGAATTGTGATGCATAGGCTAAGAGGATCATTTTCTCTTTCAGTTCTTGGGCACCAGACCAATGAAATGGGCAGGAACCCGTGCCATTTGCAGAGGAAAATAGGGCAAAATGCAATTTTGGCATACTTTGTCCATATAAATTACACTTGTTTGCAATTCATCAACTCGTTCTCTCTTTTATATCCATATGCAATGTAAATGATCATCTTTCTCTGAAGCTCAATAATGTTGCACAACTCAAAATGTGCTAGAATCAGCTAAAATAAAGCAGATGGAAGGTTTTCCCCTATATGCATATTCATAAAAATACAGAGAACTCAACAAAAGGAGATGCATAAGAGCTCATACCCGGAGGCTACATGGACTTATGGCAGTAACTTGTTTTTCTGCAACTGTTTATTCTTCAAACCTTTACTCATTTCTTCCTGAATCAGTCACTAAAAATTCACTGGGGAAAAATCTGCTTCCCTCTACACAAGCAAACATATCCCCCTTTGAATTTTTATTATACCTTAGAATTCAAGATTCAGGAAATAATATTTACATACTTTACTAGAGACCACAATTAGGAGGCAAACCACACACCAGAGTGAGATCTTAAGGGCTACTTTAGTAATAAAAGCTACAAACATTTCCAATCACACTATTATGTCCCACCAAAAAATAAAAAATAAAACTGATAGAAAATAATAATGAACTGTCTGCATCATGTTTGTTTATGTTTTTAATTGTGTATGATTAACTGGAGATGAAGGAAGTTCATTAACTGTACCCAGGAAGCAGGAACGCTGCTTGAAAGTTTGTTAAGATAAAAGGAAACCCTGGGGTAGGCTGTGGTTTAAACAAAAGATGGAAATAAAACCATTCAAACAGTAGCTGTGAGCTTCAGTGCCATGGCCAAGGAAGGGACACACATGCCAAGCAGACGCTTCCGACTACCTCTGTTTACGTCGCTTCGTCCAGGACTCTGAACCTCAGTATGGATACCAGAGAACTTAATGAAATATGTTCTAGCATATTAAGCATCGGCAGGTTTCCTGGCGTGGAGAGCCCCATGTGAAGAAGCTCCATTAACCACTCAGAGCTCATCTTTGTGGCCTCCATCCTGGGTCTGTGTACTAGAGTTACCTCTTGGGCTCAGAAAATAGGCAGCTCCACCAGGAGACTGGTGGGACAGAGGGGAGTTTGGAACCCATAAAATCTATTCTATCCATAAAATTACCTTGTGCTAGCTCTCCTCCCTAATAAAAAGCCATTCCTCCGCTTTTTCTAGGTATCTGTACATAGGATTCTTTTTAGATTCTAATAATATCTCCTTTCCCACACTTCACTCACTTTCTGCTAGCCTTTTGTTTTTTGTTGTTTGTTTTTTTTTTCTTCTTTTTCTCTTTCCGTTCTCCTCCTCTCAAATCTGCTCATGCCACTTTCCTTATAAACGAGACCCCTTAAATGATCCTGATTTGATTGTGCCATCTGTTTTCTGTAGGGAGTTATAGGGGTACATTCGTCCTTTATCCCTCGTGACTGTCAGTCACTTGGGTCACTCATGAATCCAGTGAGCAATGCTATGTGCCCCTACTATCACCACACTTAAATGGTCTCGGGTCATTTGCTTCTACTACATTCCCAGCCTCCATCTCTATGTTAACAGGCAAGTAACTCCAGGAACAAAAAGGAGAAAGATAAAGCTTTCCCACACATACCACCAAAGCATGTGTCCTGTACATTTTCAACACCCTAGTTGTTTCGTGGGCCACATAGATAATTCTTTTTGCAAAACCCTGCAAGTTCCTGAAATTGGGGCAACTGGCAGGATATAAGATCCAATCACAATGCTGCTCATGCCAATCTAGAAGAAACACCCTCTTGGTAATAATCACACCCACGGTTCCTTTATATGAAATATGGGGTCATTTCTATTAGAAGAATAGACATCTACCAACATTAATATTCACCCATCAACTATGCACTGAACCAGAATAATGCAAGTGCATACTTGAGATGATTACTCCTGAATCAGGAATATCTGACATTCATAGCAGTTTTAGTAAGTATAAAATTGATATCAGATGCACGCTATGATTATATTAGCAACTTTTTATCTTAAATGTGTTAATTTAAAGTTATATTTTTATACAGTATCATTTGCTAACATTGGTCTCTTACATACAAAACCTTAGGACTTTAAATTTTTAAGGAATTTATTTCAAAATATGGATGCCCAGATAATTTGCATGATTAATGAAAATACAGTTTTGAATAGTAAGCATTTAAAATGTTAGTATTTAGTAGGTTTTCTGACAGAAGTTAAAAGACTATTAGAATGACTGATGAGTTGTTACAGTACATTAGCTCTCAGAACATGGAAAGAGCTGGAGGACATTTACACGATGTTGAGTATTCTTGTTTTCCTTTACTCTACCCTCTCCTGACTGACCTGTCTGTCCTTTTGTGTGACTTTGGTTGTTTTAAAATTTTATGCATAGATTTTTGCTATTTTGAGTAACTTACAAATTGCATAGAGGATCATGAACATAAGGGCAAAGATAGAAGCCATATTAGACAGGATGTTGTACACAATATCGGTCACATAACAAGAGATTGATTAAAAATACACCTAACCAAACAGCTACTCTTTTTCATGGCTAGAATAGTTTTACTCAGCAATTAGATATAAAATATCATAAAATGAAGTTGAAGATACCTTTTTTATTGGTAGTAATGTTACTAGCAGTTTAGTTGTTCCTTTCTAGGTAAGGGTGAAAACATGTTCTTTCTGTTTATTAAGAATTGTGTTTTCTTCTTCCATGTCTTTGTATAGACCTCTTTGGGATTCCAGAAAATACTGCAGATCAGCTGAGACATCCAGCCTCATGAACTGAGCAACTACTAAATTTCTGAACTTTATATTCATTGCCAGCCATTATAGGATTTGTTGGACCATAACCTATAAGTCATTCTAAAAAATCCCTTTCTGAATATATATATATATAGAAAAAATCATTGTTTTTCCTAATGATGCTTACTGAAGTTATTCTAGAACTTTGTCTTTGATTCATACAGAGCTTACCATAGAGTAGTTAGTCATTTCCCCCTCATCTTGGTATACTTGGAGATGAAATACACCAAAGTGAATCCACCAGGAGGTATTTGTATCCCATATGAGTAACAAGTAAATACAATTGCAAAGGGAGGGCCTCTGGGCGACAAAAATAAATTCTTAAGATGGCAGAATCAACTAAATCATAACCTTGCTTTGGGCTAGACAATTAATATTTTGTAGGTCAGTGTTCTAAAGTGATGATTGACACCAAAGCCAACTATTTAAGCAGAATTTCCTTCATGGTGTTGCTAAGTGTATAATTCTCTAGCACAAATTATCCGGTGTAAATGACCATGAGAAAAAAATGTACTATTGTATATCATCTAGTATCCCCTGCTTGCTCAATAATGAAGAGTGGATAGAGCAAATCTATTAAGCTGAAATATTGCTCCAAAGATAGTGGACACTAAATCAAAGAGTCGTACATATGCTACTTTAATTGAGTAAAGGGTCTCTGTAGATGTAATTAAGTATCTTGAGAAAAGAATATCAGACTGGATTGTGAGGATCCCTAAATACAACCATAAATGTTATTTTTAAGAGGCAGAGGAAGGTTATTGGAGAGATAACAGAGCCAGCATGAATACCTGAATTCAGATATCCATAACCTACATAAAAACCCAGCATGGCCCACGTCTGTGACTCCTACTAAGGAGAAACAAAAAAATTACCAGACGTGGACCTCTGCTACACACACACACACACACGCACACACGCACACACACTGATGCACAGACATTGGCAGTAACAGAAAATTCTAACATATTACATTGAAAATATTTCTTCCTCCTTACTTTTATGTGAAAATATTTTGGAAACTCACAGACAGACTCTTATTCAAGGTCAAAGTAGATAATGTTGAACAACTTCCAATTCTGGATATGAGAAGTAAAGAATTAAAGTATTTTTCTCATAGTTTCAAAAGCAACCACTTGTACAATAAAGGTGGCTTAATTAAAATCTATCCAACTGAAACACTCTTTATCTGAAACAAATGTTTGTGCTACTGATATCAACCAAGTCTACACATGAGTAGCTAACAATAAACAATGGAATGAAGCCCATTGAAAAGCAATTAAAACAAATTGCTCCTAATAAAGTTTGCCCTGAAAATACATATTTCCACATGGGCAAATACACACATGCTTGTGAGTACATATGTCCACACACAAAGCTCTCTACTAAACTATGAAGACTGGATTCACGCAGTATGTATCTGAGTATTTATTCCTCCACTTATTACTGAGACACTAGTGTAAGAGCATTTGAGTCAATAAAATGAGTTATAAGACATAAAATACATTGTGTTTTGAAGAATTCCTTAGCAATACCAATTTCATTTTTCTCAAGAAGCACCCCCTATACATGGGAATAACAGAAATAGCATGCCTAAGAGGTTAGGCTCGTGTATCCTGTATACAGGCTTATATTAACTATAAACGCATTGTTTGGTTCCCATTAAAATAGTTACGATCAAAGTTTTTCACACTTGCTTGATTTTGCTTTTCATGTTCTAGAGAGTCTCACTCATGTAAGTTATGAGGCATAAAAATGATCTGTGTTCACCAAAGTGTGTTTATTGGGCTCCTGGGCATACCTCATCTCTCTTCTATTCACTGGAGTCCATGTGATGAGTTCTAGCCAAAGGCTGTGACTGGACCATAAAATCTCTTTTGAGACTCATCTCCTCAGCTCTTAGTTTCCTTACTCTTACATGGACTCTTTTCACCCCTTCAGCTGTATGGCTAGACAAGAACCATGGAGTTTGCTAAGGAAGGAACCTGAAGCTGTGAGTCATTTTCTGAGGAGAGTCATTCATGAATGATATGGGTGCAGGTCATAGTGTCATCTGAAATTAAACTAATTTCTTCAACTACTTATGTTATACAGATTCTCCACGTTAGGTGTTATGAGAGCATGAGGAAAGACGATATAGTACCCAGGAGTATCAAGATTGTTGACAAACCCTGACATCTATACAGCTTGGGTTATCTTTCCAGAAAATGCTAAAGTTTCCTTTTCGGTGGATGATTAAACAATGTGCTAGCCAATATCCAAGATTTATATTTTCATAATGAAATCAATCACAATCACTTTTAAATGTATACATTTATTTTGGATGTAACTCTAGAGGATTCTGCAACATTGTGAAAACTTCAACATCAGTTATTAATGTTGGAATGACCAATAACAGACATGATATATAGCCAAAGATCCCTTCAAATCTTATAAATCATCACTCTTCTGTTTCTAAGAGTCACAGATTGCAAAAAATTTAAATTACCTTTGGAAATATTTGATAAAAAAGAAACTCTGGGGTCTGGCTGACTCTAAGTATCTGGGGACACTGATCTTAAGAAACCCAGAGCCTAGTATTATCCAGAGGGACAAGGAGAGATGGCCAGAGTGCACAGGATAATGGCAAGTGTTCTTTTCCCTTTGGCTTCAGAATGTCAGCATTTATGGGAAAAAGTCGATCAAGTACTTACTGGATCTGCTTAATCAAGCATAATTGTCACCATGTGACTGGCAGTTATTGGAAGCTCCTATGTGATACAGTGCCAGTGTCACTATGCAAAGAGCTACCTAAATTATGGACAGCAAAAGTTAAAACAGCTTTTCCTTAGCCTAAAGTCAGCATTACATAAGGAAAGGGCATGGTTGTTAGAATGGGAGAGGTTTGGTTAGAGGTGTAATTTTGTTGCTTACTTAAGTCCTTATTCAGAAATGAAAGTCATGTTAATGTCTACATGATGTTTATATTGATCTTGAACAAAGAAGACACCTAGGGAGAATTTTCCTCTGCCAAGTTCATTATTTACATGGTGTCACTATCACTAATAACAATACCTGTAAGAATTAAGAATGAAGAGGTATTTACATCCGGAGATTTTGAGTTTATTGTCCTAAGAATACTATTTAGCATCTTTCTTCTCTCTCTAAATTTAGAAATTCTCCTGCCCTGACTTTTTCCAAGGTACACTCACAGTGACAGGCACCCTCATGCTCTTATTTCTCTGCACAGCAGACAAGCATACACATGTTTCAATCTCCCACTCTAAATGGTAGGAAATAACAACTCATTAAACATTTATGAAAGACTGAACCATCACTTTCACACCAAGGAAGTTTAGTGAGAGAAATTACTTCCTCATTTTGAATATTAACTGTTAATATAGGAACCCAGATTTATGTACGTTTTCTGGTGGATGTAGCCTTGTTTATTTTGTTTTGCTCAGTAATTAAAAGATCTTGTACGAGTGTCAGTATTTTAATAAGCTTATTTTATATTTTAAAAATGAACTAAAGTTTACTACGTGATTAGCTGTCAAATACTGAGAACTGGGGGTGTTTTGATATTTAGAGTCAGATAATATCAATTCCAGACCCACATTGTCCTACCTGTGGAGAAGTCAGAATTCAGTATACAACACAATGATGTAAAATATGAATATGTATGTGCTAAGTGAACCCCTAGACATAATAGTCTCTGCAGTTATAATGGTACCCAAGCCAAAAAGCACCATTTCCACTCTAACCCTGTGAATATAAACATGAGAACGACATGCATATTTTATCATTTTACTTCCAATTTACAAAATTTCCATTATTTGTAATAACACCATAGGTAAAGTCCTGGGAGAAAAGAATTTCCAGATACTAACAGTTATTTTATGATAGCATATACAGAGTACACTTTGCATGGGATTGGTTACCTCATCAGGAGGAGAGTTGCACCCATGTAGGAATGACAGATGTCTGAAACACAGTCAATGTAGTCTATTTTGATGTCACTACTTCATAGGAGAGATTCAAGCCTAGAAGAATGAAGCAGTCTGTCTATGGGCATGTCTATTCACAAGGAAGAAGAACTCAAATTTGCATGGAGATATGGCATCAAGCTCAAGTAACTTCATATTATGCAGTTTAATCATATACAAGACAAAATGTTGTGCCAAGTTAGACATTTAGCAAACTTCTCTTTGAAGTTAGACGTCATCAAAATAACAACATCTTCCAGTCTCATAATCTTCTGTAAAGTGTTTCTCAAAAAGAAATAGTTCCTAATGTGAGACCAAAAGACAAATCACAATAGCGAGATAGACTACATGATAATGTGCTTGCCACAAAAGCAAAACCTGAATTATACTCACTGAACGCAAGCGTAAAAGGCCAGGCATGTTGGCTATGATTTCAGTCCTGGAGAGATAGGAAATCAGGCTAGGGAGTCATACGTTGGCTTACAAACTCACTGGCATACAGCTTGCCTACTGAACTAACTCCAGGTCCTACTGAAATACCTTATCAAAGATAAGGGGGGTGAGAGGATTGTGACTATACCCTTTGACTTCACACATGCACACACACACACACACACACACACACACACACACACACCACAGTCTGTAGTCTGAACATCAATGATGTTCAGTAACAGAATAAAAAAATCATATGCTTCACTTTTAGAATCATTGAGTGTGCTACCCATTCTATTTACTATTATAAATCTTCCACAGCTTTCTATGAAATGTAGATTTATGCCAATAAACTTAAAGAAAAGAAAAGCTTTCTGTGAGGTGTCTTGAAGAATCCCTGTCAGGGCCTTGTGAAACAACATTTTTATAAGACAGGGAAACTGAAACACAATTATTGGCAAAAGGTTATGTTTAATTTTTTTCAAATCAAAACTCATTAGTTGAAAAGAAGCTACCAAGATTTCATTTTATGTGGTACATTTCGATTAGGCTTCTGGAGTCTCAAATGTAAGATCCACACTTTCCCTAGGACTCATCATTGCCTGATGGTAATTACGAAGGTATGGTAATAAAAGGCCTTAAATCAAACCTGCATGGTAGATCTGCTATCACTGCAAGAACCATCTCCCTGCAAGCTGGCAGGGAACCATGTGCTTGCCTTTCAATTGGCAAAGCAGGCTCCTTGGCTGGCATAGCAACCAGAGCTGCCTTAAATCTTCCTCAGCTACGCCCTGTTAGGGTAATTTGGTTAATTGAAAACGTCTGTCTGTGAAGAAACCTTCCATGGTGTCAGTGTCATTTGCAGGTTGCGAAGGAAGATCTCCAGGACAGTAGCACTGCCTGGCTGCCTGCGAATTCCCAACTGATCAGCAGCAGCAGCCAAAGTCATCGTAGACACATAGAGGAGGGGCCATCCAGTGGCAGGCCAGCTCCCATCTCTTGCCAAATAGTATACGTGAACAAGTCAGCTACGGGAGAATGGAGAGTCTTCCATACAGCTGCCAATATAGACAGGGAATTCAAGCATGTGTCCAACAGTTCACTCAAGAAGTAGAGTGAAATTAGAATATTCCAAAAGAACACAGAATGACCATCTCTAATTTAAAATTACACGATACAGGCCACTTGATAGGAACATGTCAGAGAAGGAAAGTGAATAATAGGTATATTTTTGAAATCAAAATGGGGGTAACAACTGGGATACCAGGCCAAAGACTGCTTGGGAAGTAGACGTTAATGGAGGTACAAGGAATGAAGAGCTGTTTCTCAGTTTTATTTCCCAATCATTTCATTTTAAGTGACAACAGCTGAGTGTGGTGGCACATGGCTGCAGTCTCAGCACTATAGAGGCTGAGACAAGGGGACAGAGAAACTAAGGTTAGTGCTGGCTTCATAGCAAGAGCATACCTCAATAAATGATTAAATGAAGCATTCCAAGGTAAAACTGAATGAGAGGTAGATCCACTGATGCATTTGTGTATTCCGAGATGGAGAGGCTGAGGCAGGAGGATGGCAGGTTTGAAGTCAACTTACTACGCCATGGATTCAAGACTGGTTTCGGCTAGATAGCAAGACACACACTCAAATAACGTCAATAGCATTCTCTTTCCTGAACATTTAAAGCACTAGCCCATGAGTGGAAAATAAGAAAGCGTTTGTAATTCCTGGCTGACATGAGATAAGGGGTTAAATCACACACTGTGTACTCTGCCAAAACACATCAGTGAATTTAAAATACACAAAAAAAAGAAGAAGAAAGAAAAAGAAAACGAATAAGAGAAAACAACCTAAAGCAGTGTGTTATCCTTACGGGAAAAAGAACTCCAGCTCTGGGAAGGTGAATGCTCTCTGTCCTGTTCTTCCTGTCTGGGCCAGGTCAGAGTTCATCGCCTCCACTGCTCCTTTGCGCTTCCCTTTGATCATCTAACACTGGTCCCTTATGCTCTGTTTTCCACCCATCTGTACCCTGTGGCGATTCTGCTTTACTTGTCCATTGACCACGCCAGGGATTCAGGCTTAGCCTTCTTCCTTTCGGAGCTTACTATCCCAGTCTTCCCATCTGCCCTACACTAGCCGCTGTAAACATTCCCAGAGAGCTGAGGAACAACACTCTGTGCAGGAGTCCTGGAAACACAGCCCATTCTTTACCACCTGACACATGCCAGATGGGCCTCTTCGCAGTGTCGGCTCGAAAGGGTTTAGTCTTTATGAGTATCCTCTCATATGCCATGGAAATAAGCTCGTCTGTTTGAAAGGCCTCTCCAGTTAGGTGGAGATGTGCTCTGAAGTGTACTCGTGTGTTGCTGCCTCGAGATTCTAAATTCCTTTTCTTATCAAAACTATCATATATAGAGTGGCTTAACACAGGCAATTTTTTCTTCCCCTCAATATATGGTTTTATTTAAATAGAAACATGAATGCTTCACATGCCAATCCCAGCTCCCTCTCCCAGCCCTCCTGCCTTGTCCCTATACCAGCCTTCCCCAGCCTCCTACCTAATCCCCATGTCATTCCCCAGGGAGGGTGAAGCCATCCTTGGGGGAATTTCCAAAGTCTGTCATTTCATCCAGGGCAGACATAGGCCCTTCCCCATGTGTCCAGGCTGACAAAGCATCCCTCTATTTAAATTGGGCTCCCAAAGTTCATATGCAATGGTAAACACTGATCTGCTCCTCAAGGCCCCAGTGATTTCTGTGGCCTCCTCACTGACACTACATCTGGATCAGTCCCCTGCTGGCCTCTCAGCCATCAGTCCGGAGTACAAGAGCTCCCCCTTGTTCAGTCAGCTGTCTTTGTTGGTTTCACCAGCATGGTCTTGACCCCTTTGCTCATCACTCCTCCTTCTCTGTCACTGGGTTCCAGGAGTTCAGTTCAGTGTTTAGTTGTGGGTATCTGTCTCTGCTTCTATCAGTCACTGGATAAAAGTTCTAGGATAAGGTAGTCATCAACCTTATAATCAGAGAGGAGATATTAATGTAGTCTCTCCACTATTGCTTAGCTTGCCAGTTGGTGTTATCCTTGTAGATCTCTGGAGATCTCACCAGTGTCAGCTCTCTCCTTAAGCCTATAATGACTCCATCTATTATGGTATCTCTTATCCTGCTCTCCTCTGTTCTTACCTCGACTCAACCTTCCTGCTCCCCCATATCTTCTTCTCCCCTCCTCTTATCCCCCTCTCTTTTTCCTGGTTCCCTCTCCCCTCCCCTGATGTTCCCAATGTGCTTAGGAGATCTTGCCTCATTCCACTTCTCTGGGGTGCCATGCAGCTCTTTTGGGAACCTCCCTGTTTCCCAGACTCACTGGCACTGGGATTGTAGGCTTACACTCCCCTGATCCATACCTGAAATCCATATATGAGTGAGTACATACCATGTTTGTCTTTTTGTGACTGGGTTACCTCACTCAAGATGGTAGCTTCTAGTGCTATCTATTTGCCTGCAAATTTCAATATTCCATTGTTTTTTTCTGCTGAGTAATACTCCATTGTGTAAATGTACCACATTGTCTCTATCCACTCTTCAGTTGTGGGGCATCTAGGTTGCTTCCAGGATCTAGCTATTGCATATAATGCTGCTATGAACATAGTGGAGCAGACATCCTTGTAACACACGCAATTTCTAAGTATACCTCAGCCTATAGTGGATATGAAAAGTAGGGTTGAACTCAAAATATCACAGGCACACTACTTAGAGGTGGAAGAAAGTGGAGTGATTACACACTTAAAAATTATATATGATAAAATAGACATTAATAAGCTAACTTCCAGTTTCAAATAATGTACAAGAGGGAGAATGAGATGTTTTCACTGCAAAACCTGTACAGCAACTCAGGGTACCTTCCTGATAAGCTTGAATTACAAGTGTTACTCATATGGCAGAAGTGTGACTGCTCATGTAAGTTAGACAAAGCCATGTAGCCAGTAACTATGGGGAGATAAGTGCTGAATTCCCATATTCTATGCAACATATACATTAAAGACATTATCATGTCCCTGTTATACACTCTCAGCACATCTGCCAAAACTCAAATTACCATAAATATGTAGGCTTACTTTTGGGTTTTCTATCCCGTTCCATGCCTGAAATGTCTGTTTTATTCCAGTGCCAAGCTGTTTGGATTATAATAGCTCTACAATTCCTTTTGAAATAACAGGGAGTGATATTTCCAGTTTTGTGCTCTTTGCTTAAGATCACCTTGACTATTCAGTAGCCTTCCTACTTCTAAACAATTTTAATTATATTTTTATTTATTCAAAATAATTTCATTGGGATTTTGATAGATATTGCATTGACTAGTTGGTAGAAAGTGGATTGTTCCATTAAGTGTGGATAATAATATTAATTATTTCAATTCATGATCATGGGACATCTTTCCATATATTTGATTCCTCAAGGTTTTCCCCTAGTGTTTTTAAATGTCCATTGTATAGCTCTTTTATCTCTTCCTTTTAAAAGAATTTACAGATGGTCAGTGTGTGTGGATGTGAGCTAGCATATCCTACCACTGGTGAAATGGTCCGAAGACAACTTTGTGGAGGTGGTTTTCTCTTTCCAGCTTTATGT